TGGCCTGGTGAATTCCACACATTTTTTGCCCAGCCTTTCATTGGCTGTTTTACCAAAAAGGGGCTAAAAAAAGGGTCTATGGCCTTTTAGCCATCTCCATTAGAGGTGGTCTAAGGATCCCTCTATTAAAATGTTGTATGTTGGACATGTTGTAGAGCACGAACATGGATGTACTTTTATCCATGTTCATCACCAAGCCAAAGTTGTGATATTAGCATGTAATAAGTTTAATAATTGTGTCGTGTTCAAGTTTAGAAAAGATGACCTAACTAATATCGTGTCATGTTTGAGTTGACTCTAATTATATATCGGCTGGCATGAAAGTTTGAACACGAGTTGTCACCCGTACCCCAGATGTCACGGTAGCCCAGGTCATCAAACGCAAGTGCAATCGTATATGCGAGTTTTTTTTTTTTTTTTTTGGTAAACTCGTATATGCGAGTTAAGCTAAGCCCACAAGATCTGAATTTAGACCAGAGTGTCGATACGACCTTCCTCAACTCATGTAAGCTAAAAGGGTAGCTTATGATGCAAGTTATTCCCATCCTTAGCTCATCAGATTGAAACTTTTGCATAGGGGTCCAAACCCTAAAATGGTTTCCATGTCATCGATGACATATATGGTTGAATTGACTTCTTTCCTCTCCTTTATTTAGTGGTAGTCTACGTCGGCATATACTGAAGGCCTATTCATAAACCGCTCCATGTCAACGGACTTGGATCCTCTCCTTGAGGAGAGGATCCTCCTAACCAAATGACTTGGACTGTTGGATAAAAATTCAACGGCTACAAATAAGAAGTTATTTTAAAATTATAATAATTATAACCGTTAAATTTTCATCCAACAGTCCAAATTCTTTGATCAGAAGGATCCTCTCTTTGGACTCAGGAGAGAATCCAAATCCCATGTCGACAAGAAGAGAGAGATGCTAAATCCATCAAACATAAGTTCTTAAAAATAACAAAACATAAAAAACGAACTGACAACTAACTCACGCAGCCACGTGGGCCCCTGATACCTGACACGTGCAGATAAGGCGTGAGGTCACACACAATCATCTATCTCCTCTCGCCGCTCACGTCACTCTCCCGTTTATTCTTGTGTTATTATTTGTTTTTTGTTTCGTTGTTTGTTTTTTATACCATCATTCCATGAACCTTTTATTTACTTACTGAGAAACAATCGCTATTTTTAAAATATTAATTAAGAATTAGTCACTATTTAAAATATTTATTGACTATTTTAAAAATATTTATATTTATTGAGGAATAGTCACTATTTTATGAATATTTATTTAGAAATAATCCCTATTTCTAAAATATTAATTGAGAAATAACTACTATTTTAAAATATTAATTGATAAACAATCACCATTTGTAAAATATTTGATATTATGGATTAATCAAACTTTATTAGGAACTGTTTCTTAATTAATAATTTCTAATAAACAATAATGAAGAGGATATAGAGAGATAGATTGTGAGAAAGTAAAATGTTGGTCCACACAAATCTTACCAAAGTTGACCAAGGGTGAAGAGAGAGAGAGAAAGAGAGTGAGAGGAGGGAGGATGGAATTTGGGGAAAACAAAAAGATGACATGAAAGATGGAAGATCCTTCTAATAACGAAATCTGGACCGTTCAAAATTAATTCAACGGTTTCAAATAGAGGATATTCTAAAAGTTATAATAATTGCAACCGTTGGATTAAATTTGAACGGCCCGGATTTCTTGGTCAACAGGATCCCCATCTTGTGCTCAAGAGAGGATCCTCTTCCGTGAAAGATGGGAGAAAAAGAGAAAGAAGGTTGGGTGAACTGGTGAAAGATGAGAAGGAAAGGAATCCGAGGAAAATAAAAAAGTGATGGTAAAGATGTGAAAAAGAGAAAGAAAACTAACATTTCATGTGAAAGAGGACCTGGATTGTCTGCCCTCTTTATCCCATATCCTTCACATCTTCTCCTATTTATGTGGTCACAGTTAAACCACGTCAACATTTTATATTGATTTTTTTTTATAGAAATAATAAGACAAAAAACAATGGGAATATAAAATGTTGACGTGGCTTAACCGTGATCACAGAAATAGGAGGGGATGGGAAAGGTATGGGATGGGGAGGGCAGACAATTCCAGTTCGTGAAATAGGCATGCGTGTCAGTGCACGTAATGTGTGACATGTGGCAATTTTTTTTGCATTAACCATTAAATAAAGTTGTTTGAATAATTTTGGTTAAAATTAAAGTTTTGAAGTCATTTTTTATTAGTTTCATGTAATTTAAACCAGTAGCAAAGTGGCAAAGCCAATATTTAAAATAACGGGTCATGATTTCGACAAAAAAAACTTCATTGGACCATTTCTTGTCGAGCACCTGGTGATTCCTTCCAACATATGTCGACAATGAGAGGCTTGTCAGGCCGAAAATAGGAAATTGTAAAGTTATGTTGAAGATTGTCAAGGCTTGTCAACATAGACATTTCATCGAGCACTAAGTGTGCACAGTAAAGTCGCATGCAAGAAGAGAGAAAAGGTAGATACAGGAATGATAGAAAAGTATGGAAGAAGGAGGTTGTAATTTAGTGTTGCTAACTTTTTCTTTTTTTTTTTCTAGTTGTTTATAGGAGTCAAATACAAATACATAGACAAATATACATAGTGATGTTGAACTTGTTAGAGTCATGAACACCCAATGACCCCATACTAGCTCCACCATCGATTTAAACTAAGCTTATTTACGGTAAAATCTCATGAAACTTAAACTCGAGTATCATTTAACCAATCAGCCTTATTGTGTCATGTTAACAATTTTAACAGATTTATTAATGGACTTTACTAGTAAGAAGCAAAGTGAGAACGAGTTAAGTTTTCGAAATTAAGTAACAAAAGTTTAAGTTTCAGATTGAAGTGAAATTTCAAAGAGTACAGAGATAGTTAAGCCATTAACCTACATATTCAAAGGAAAATCGTGTTAGTACTAATTACGATGGCAAGCCTAACAATGCAAGTCACATTGTCTTGCAACATATATTTATGAATCCTTTAACAAGAGGGATCCTCATTTTTCAAAAAAAATTAGGACACTCTCTTGGCTGTTAGATTGCCTTTAATGAAATTGTGTGGTCTGTGATTTAATCTCAACCACAGAATTTCATTAAAAGGCAATCCAACAGTCAAGAGGATGTTCTCATTTTTTTGGAAAATAAGAATCCCTCTTGTTAAACGATCTATATATATATATATATTATTTAACACTTGAAATGGTATTCTCTTTGCATTGGTACCACCATGCAATAAAATAAAAACATATCATATTAAGGATGATCAAGTTGGAAGAAGGGGCATGCTTGGAGTGGACTTCAAGGAAAAATGAAACCTTATTAAAAAGAGACTTACTATGCTTTAAAACAAAGTACAAATATATTACTACAACACTATATCATTGTATACATCCAACTGCTGTATCTAATAATTACCATCAATTAAAATTAATACTATAAGTTGTACTTGCAAAACCACCATTTCACGTTTGGGCCGGACAAGGATCCTCTTTGTGGGGATCCAAATGATCAATCAATCGCAATCGTTCATCGTTTATCGAACATCGTGTGGTCAATTTTTGTTGGATACTGTTTATATTTAATTTTAAACAAAATTAATTTCTAACCGCACGATCTACGATAAACGGATACAATTGATTGATCATTTGGCTCCCCACAAATAGGATCCGGATGGGATCCTACTCCGTTTGGGCCATCTAAACCCAATAATTATGATTATACGAAGGCCTTTTAGCTAAAATGGTTTCTAAAATTAGCATAATTCTTCATTTTGGTCTCTGAGATTTAAAATCAATAGAAGTGGTTATTGAGATTGTCTACCATCAATCATTTTAGCCCTTCTATGAAAAATCTCCATTAAATTTAGGGTATTTTTGTCAAACCAACCCCTCCACTTGAATGGGTGGTTTCTTCAATTTAACAGAGATTTTTCACAGTATAATCAAAATGATTGGCTGTGAAAAATCTCATGGACACCTTCTATTATTTTTTTAATCTAAGATACTAAAATGAAGAACTATTTCGCTAAAAAAAAACCTTACGTGAAGGAAGGGTGTTTCCTAAAACCTTCCCCATCCCCAAAAATTCACAGCCCGTGTGCTCATATACATATATAACTAGCTCTTAGGTGGGAAAATTTGAGATGCCTAACACATTACATACATAGGGTTTACTTATCTAGTGCAAAAGCCCCTAACTTTCTCTTGTATTTCCAACATAATTTCCAACCAAATCTCTTTACTGCGTATTCAAAAGTCTCAATATTCGATTCTGACCACTCTCACTAGGGTTTATTAAAGCCATTGTCAATTGCGACCCAACAAGTTGTGATAGAAACAAATATTTTTCATCATATAAATTAATGCTTATCCACAATATAGATAAATCTTTTACTGTCACGCTTATTCTATTACTAGTCCAAGTGTTATACTATCTGTGTAACATACTTATGATTGATATTCATCGACTTCCAGTATAATAACAACAAATAGATCTTATGTGTTGATATAATCTATGTAAATATGTAGTATCACGTGATAGTGTGAAAAACACAAACATCGATAGACGGAAACAAAGAAAATAACATGATGAGTGCCTACCTACCTGATGGAGAAAATTGAATAGAGCACTCATTTGGATTTGGTTAAGCAAATGACAGTTTAGCAAATGACTTTTTTTTTATTAATTTAATCAATACCAAAAGAATTACACAATAGGACATGAAATGATTACAAACACATCCCAAAGGTGAGAAACAAGTTTTCCACAATATTATTTTAAATCATGTAAATAATCTGGCTAGGAAGGTAGCCGACAAACCACAAGTAACAGAACTCCACTAATCATAATTCCTAAAAAAAAATGATAACGAGACTCTTTCAAAAGTGGGGCTCTCTTTAGACTCTTTGTCACCTCATGTTTTTCACACAATGTTTTACAATGTTGATGTTGGTATGGAAATTAACATTAAATCGCGAGGTAACAGAGAGTTCACGGAGAGTCTCGCTTTGAGAGATTCTCCTTAGCGTTTCTATTCAAAAAAAAAAAAAAAGCAAAACAAATATTCTTGGGCAGAGCAGAATGTCAAAGTTAGTAAAGCTTACCAAATTTGAAGATGGCCTTTACAGTTTACTATAAATACGAGTAAACATTTAGCTATAGGTTCGTGCAATATTGCAATACCACCTTTGCAATAATATTGATCATTAGCAAGCTCTCCTTTCTCTATTTTGCTAATGGCTTTCTCTCTTGGGTCTCAAGTACTCTCCCTTCTCATTGTTTTGCTTTTACTGCAATCTCCGAGCGAGGCTGCAACGTGCAGTGACTGCTTCATTCACTCTCGAGCAACTTATTATCCGAATTCTGAAGCACAAGGAACAGACAGTAAGAGACTTTTAATCAAAGAAAAAGAATGAGCAAAATCTTTTATGTTGCAGGCATATGCTTACTAGATATTTTCTTGTATCGAACTGCAGGTGGTGCATGTGGATTTGGTTCATTTGGAGCAACACTCAATGGCGGGGATGTCTCAGCTGCCTCTGACCTCTATCGCAGTGGCCTCGGATGTGGAGCTTGTTACCAGGTGAGCATGCACGATTGTAAGATGTGTGTGTGTGTGCGCAAACGCGTGTTCAATTTTTGTGATCATAATTAATTTTCTTGATGGTTCCCTAGGTGAGGTGCACCAATAGTGCCTATTGCACAGACAAAGGAGTAACTGTAGTTATAACTGACCAAGGCTCGAGTGATGGCACAGACTTCATCATGAGTAAGCAAGCGTTTGGCCGGATGGCTCAAAGCACTGAAGCAGCTGCTTCTCTGCTGTCACTTGGTGTCATTGATATTGAGTACAGACGGTAATTAACAGCCTAAATCCTGAAAGCAACTTTGAGGAACCTGCATGATTTTGTGATAAATCTATATGACTCAAGTAGCTCCTCAATAATCTGTCCTCTTTTTCCAAACATGCAGTGTTTCATGCAGCTATCCAAACAAAAATATTACAATCAAGATCGATGAGCACAGCAACAATCCTTATTATTTGGCTTTTGTAATATGGTACCAGCAAGGGAAGAAAGATATCACCGCTGTCCAGCTGTGTGAGGTGTGTGTGTGTGAGTCAGGATATTCAATACATATGAACCAAACCAACTTGCCTTGCTCTTCACAAGCACTGGCTTTTTCTTGAAATAAAATTAAAAGATTTGTTAGGTAGACAAATTATATCATATGTTTGTTTATAGCTAATAAAACTCTTGTTCTTAATCATCAACCTAGTTTTAATTACTTGCTTTTATTGTTAATTAAATATGTCACCTTCCTCATTACACATATAATTGAAATAATATATATTTATATTTATATTAACTTATATTTAAAAAATTGCTGCAGACAACAAACTTTGTATGCGTAGTACTGGACAGGAGTATTGGAGCAATTTGGACAACAACTTCAGCACCAAGTGGTGGACCCTTGCAAATAAGAATGTTATTCAGCGATGATGACGAGACTTGGGTTGTTCCTCCGAACACTATACCACAAGACTGGAAAGTTGGACAAACATATGACACTGGAGTTCAAGTTAACTGATCAGATCAGATCGGATTTTATTAATCCTGTTTAATTATCAATTTTTATTAGTTTCTTAAAATTTGTTTTGTTTTGCAAATTGGAAGAATGAATGTATACGAGACTAAATTCCTCACCTTTTAAGGTATTGGGTGACATAATTGGCTGCTCCAATATTCCTCAAAGTTCCCTCCTATGTGGATATTGGACCTTTTCCCTGCAAAAACAAAACTGTTCAAAAGGTGCTAATCAGATTTTGATACCATAAAAAATATGATCAGAATGTACGAGGTTTATCACGCTCTTAAGGAACATATAAACACTCCTCGGGATAAAAATTGATATTGGCATAGAGGCAGCAACTATTTTAAGTGTTCTTATGAATTCAAAAAGTAAAACAAACTACAGAAATTTGCATCAAACCAACCTCTTTAATCAAGTGAAGGAACCTCTGTCTGTCAAACATATTTCCGTTCACTCCATGTTCCTTTCCACTATTATATGCTTTCTTCCTTCCATTATTTTCAAACGGCATTTGGTATAATGAAATCGTGAGAGGATTTTCCTCAACATTCAGAGCAGGCATGTCATGAGTTTCCAGTGTAGGTTAAACTTTCTTGATATATTAGATGCATAGATTTATGACTCACTAATAGTGCCAAATACAAGGGATAGCATCTCATCCACTTCGGGATGGAGTTTATCGCCTGAGAGGAATACATTAACTTTCCCTTGCACCAGAATCCAACTGCATCCAGGAACCTTTCTCACTCCTTTGAATCCCATCTCCCTTCTCAGCTGTCTTTCCTCAATATGCTGACCATTTGCTGCATATATGTTGCAAAGCACCACATGGGCTGGTGCATTTAAAGGATCCAGCTCTAGGAGATTTTTGGCTGCATATCTAGCAACATCAGCATTCGTTTCACCAAATCCGCATATACCAAGCAATGCACCCCAAACAGTGCGATCTGGTTTGAAGGGAAGCCTTGAAACAAATTCTCCTGCTTCTTTTACTTTCCCAGCTCTTCCCAGAAGATTAATCATACAAATGTAATGCTCCAAAGCTGGTTGAATTGCATAAACATTGCTCATGGCATGGAAAAAATCCCACCCTCTCTGGACAAGCCCTGCATGGCTACATGCTGATAGGATGCCCAAAAAAGTGACCGAATTTGGTCGGATTGTAGATTTGACCATGGCTCCAAAGATCTTCAGAGTCTCATTTGCCTGTCCGTGGTCTGAAAACCCCATAATCATGGAATTCCAAGAAATCAAATCCCGGAAACACATGTTTGAGAATGTACGGTAAGCATCATCTAGCTCCCCACATTTGGCATACATGGAAATCAGTGCGTTGTTAATAAACAAGTCAAATTCATACTGTGTTTTGATCAGCAGGCTGTGGAACTGTTTCCCAGAATCAAGATATGCCATTGCACCTGCAGCTCCAAGAAGAACTGAATATGTTGAACTGAGAGGCAAAACACCTTCTGACCTCATTTCTGAAAACAAATTGGTAGCTTCAGCAAAAAGCTCATTTTGGATGTGCCCCGAAATCATCACTGTCCATGCAATTGCATCCTTATCTGGCATGATTTGAAACATATTACAAGCCTTTGATACTTGTCCAACGCTAAAATACCCAGTTATCATAGACGTCCAAGAGATCTTGTCTCGGATGGGTGCATTGTCAAAGCAAATTTGTGCCTGTTCTAGCTGCCCAATCTGTATGTAACCGTTAATCATAGAATTACAAGACTGCGCAGTACAGTTACTTGAGTTCTTGATGAAAAGAAAGCACGCGGAATCCATGATACCATAGGCCGAGTACATGTGAATGAGGCTCTTTGATAATCTGCCATCATAATCATCGTGGTCCCAACCATCGACAATCAACTGAGCATGTAGTTGCTTGACAAGATGAGGCAAACCAATACCCGCACAAGCATAAACAAGCGATATGAAGGTCTCTCCGTTTGGTTTTGTGTCGTAGTTCCCCTTAAGTTCAAGAAATAGCGACAGAGCTTCTTTATAGAAGCCATTCCAAGAAAAGCCGCCAATCATGGCTGTCCAAGAAACAACATTCCTCTCAGGCATTTTTTGAAACAAAGAGTATCCCTCATCCACATGGCCAGACCGACAGTAACCGGATATCATGCTAGTCCAAGTAATCACATTCCTATCGAGCATCTCATCAAACAAAACTCTTGCTTCGTCCATTCTACAATTCTCAGCATACCCAGAAATCATAGCATTCCAAGAAACAACATTCTTCGTCGGCATTTGGTCAAAAACCTGCCCTGCTCCCTCCAAATCCCCATTCTTAATCAACCCAGCAATCATCGAATTCCAAGAAAAAACGTTCCTCTCTGGCATCGCGTCAAACAACTGCCTCGCCTCGCCAATCCTCCCCGCATCCGCAAACCCACAGAGCATTGAAGTCCAGGAAACAACGTTTCTCTCTGGCATCTCATAAAAGAATCGCCAGCCCTCATTCAACCTCCCAGATTGCACATACCCAGACAACATTGCATTGTAAGAAACAATGTTCTTCTCGGGCATGATATCAAAGAGCATCCGTGCCTCATCGACCCAGCCACTTCTCGAGTATTTCGTGAGCAAACAAGTCCAGTGAACAATGCGGCCATGGCTGCTTCTCTCAGGCAATTTCTCAAGCAGCTTACGTGCGTCTTGACACCGACTTTGACAAAGACAGTGAAGAAGCTGAGAATCGTCGGGGGTGAGTTTAGCAGAATGGGTTCTCGAAAATGAAATCTGGGTTTTATAACATCGGCAATAAAAATTGCTGGAGCCAACTCTGATTAAGGTTTCTGAGAGATCAAAACGGAAGGGTTTATAAAATGAGGCGCGCATGAACGTGAAAAAAAAAATAACAAAATGGGGAGTGTATGCCAAGAGGTGCAGCTTGAGAGGAAAAAGTATTGGGATTTTAGAGCATCTCCGAGGAAGATATTAAAATATAAATGTTAAAGGTTAATTTAATAGTCAACGTGACAATGTTAGATCTTCTTTTTCTTAAATTTATATGTCAACTTTGACATAAAAAAGCTTATGTTTTAATTCACGTAGGATTGACATATCAGTTGGAACAAATTTAATTATGTGGCATTCTACTTAGAATTCGACATATTCTTTTAAAGATGGTCTTAAAAACGTTTGATAACCATTTTATTTTTATTTTATTTTTTAATTGAATGGTAAAAATTTATTTGATAACTCCTTTTATTTTTTTTGAAAAGCTAAAAACTAAAATATAAAAACTACTTTATTGAGTTTTTAAATTTTGGTTTTCAGTTTCATTTTTTTCTTGAAGCTCAAAGTAGTTTTCATTTAGTTTTCAGTTTTTAATTTGAATTTTGGTTGAAAATTGAAATCTTGTTTAGCAATTATTTTCAATTTTCAAACTAAAAAGTAGAATCTCAACTCCAAATTTTGAAAACTCAATGTCAAATTTTGAAAACTCAAAAAAATAATTTTCATATTTTTGAAGACTAACTAAACACGATTTCAAAAAGCAAAATGGTTATTAAAGGGTTTATTAAATTTTTTTTTTTCAAATGAAAAGGTTAATTAATTAATTAAACTAAAACCTGAAACGACGTAGTGTCGATGGTTTATGTTTGTTGCTGGATCTACTAAAGTACACGCCTCTCAAATCTCAATCTTGTCGGCTCCGTTCCCAGACTGACTCCAAATTTTATTACTGCAGGCTGCAGCCGCATCTCTCCTCCTCCGATTCTTGGGTTCCGGTATGAATCCCTAAATTTATTCACCTCTCTGTCTCCATTTTCTCTGATTCTTCTGCTAATCCAATTGATGAATATATATAAAATATTACATTTTTTTAATTATTAATTGTTTAACGATTCTACTGTTTAACTCATTGATTGGATTGGATTGGATTGCATGTCCTAGTTTTGAATTTTATCATCCGATCTCTCAATAATCCTGGCCGTATTTAAACGTTTGTGTTTTTTTCGATGGAGGGACTTGTAGTCGTCCTGTAGAATCAATGCCGTTTTTCCTACTAAAAAAATGGATTAGTTTACATATATTATATATATACATGGATGCATTGTATGTATGTGTTAGTTTTGAGTTCCCGTATGTTTTGTTATAGTATATAGTATAAGGTGAAAAACGAGATTGAAATACTATGAAAAGGTCTTAGGTATTACAAATTAACGTTATGCTCACAAGTTTATCTTTTTGTGACATTCAATATTTTCGTTTAGAAGTCCTTTTAAATTGATTGAAAGCGTTTTTGATAAAGTGTTTTTAGGTTATAAAAGCACTTGAGGTGCATTTTGGAAGAAGCACCAATTATGTGCTTCTTGCATAAAGCATCTAAGTGCTTTTCCAGGATTCACTTACATTTTTATTAGGTTTAACGTGATTGTATGTCTATAGAGTGACAAGTGAGTTGAGTTCCAATTTGGCCCATGCAGTTTCAATTACAACTAATTTCTCCGGATTGTTCTTCATTCGATTCTCTATCCCTTTGATGTGCCCAAAAGTTACTTTGTGGATTTGAAGTGTGATGATAATTGAAGTTGAAGTTGGATTGTTACCATATACTTAGGAATAGTAAAAACAGTGAGCAGGCTATCAAAATTTCATTAAACGAGAGGAATGGGAGATGTTCACAAGTTGAAGTCGATTGGCTTAAAACTTTAGCAAGTGAAAGTTTGTAGTTTGTTTCCTTTTTGTTTACTTTCTTGAATAATGTAGTGGGTGTTTAGTTATTTACAAGAATTTTTTCTAAAAAAAGTTTGAAAGGGGATCAGCAAGTGGCTTTGCCGTGGCAGTCAATCCTTGCAGGGGCCGTAAAGACTCACAGAGGTATTTTAGCCTTTCCTGACCACCATCGTGTGATTCACCAGTGCCAGGCATCGAACCCAATATGGCGCTCATAATTGTTGGGTGGTTTTTTATGTCTAATCTGTTTGGCATAAGGGCATTTTGTTTATGTTGAAAATATCAGTTTTTCAGATTTCTTTGTTCTTTTGGATAATCGTTTAGAGTATCTTTAATTTACATCTCGGGCTGGACATTATTGATACTTACCTTCCTATTTCACCTTTCAGCGCTGCTGCCAAAACGAAGCCGTCGCGTTTGACCTTCAGAAGAACCACAAGGGCTAGTAGTATATATAAAGGGCTGTGTCTAAAGCTTTTAGCTTCGAGATCCGAAAATGGAGTTTTTGGATGAGGACGCAAGGCCTAGGTTCCTCTTCCAATCCAAAGCAGTAGCTTCTTCTGCCACAGACCTGCAACCCCATTACAAGAATCTGAGCAAACCATTCATTTTCTTTACCATCTTGATCTCGTTTCTGTTAATGGGTCTTGCCTTCTTCCTCCTATCCGAACCCTACCAATCTCTTCTTATATGGGCCGCTCTCGCCCTCCTCATTGGCCCCTTTGCTCCTGCACCTGTCACTGGTGGTGACATTCGGGTTGGTCATGGCCCAGTCGTCGACTTCCCAGAAATTGCAACCCAAGTAGAGGATGAATCAAAGAAGAGGGTTTCTCAGAAGAGATCAAAACCACGTCGATTTGACGAATTGGGGGCAGATTCAACGCCCATGCCTGAAACTATTAGTGGGTCTGTGATAGAAAAGAAAAGGAGTGAGGCTTCCGAAGGTAATGGTAATGGGTCAGTGTTTTTTGGTGAAGAGACGGAGTGGGTTGAGGAGGATGTTGAGTTCTTGAAGAAACTGCTTTTGAAGCACCCGGTGGGGAAGCTCAGACGGTGGGAGGTTATCTCCGAATCATTTCAAGGAAAGCATAAGGTGGAGAGTGTGATAAAAAAGGCCAAAGAATTGGGAGAGAAGAAAGTGAGTGATTCAGATTCGTATGCAGAGTTTCTGAAGAAGCGTAAGCCCAATGACAAGAAAACTGAAAGTGGGAATCAAGAGTTGGGTGATGAGTCGGTGGCGGATAATGGTGAAGTGAAGAAAGAGAGTTGGTCTTCTACTGAAGACATTGCATTGCTGAATGCCTTGAAGGCATTTCCGAAGGAAGTGTCAATGAGGTGGGAGAAGATTGCAGCTGCTGTGCCTGGGAAGTCGAAGGCTGCTTGTGTGAAGAGAGTTGCTGAGTTGAAGAAGGGCTTTCGGAGCGCCAAGGCTTCTAACGAAGAGTAGACGAAGTTTGTCTGATCAAATTTTGAATCGGATCTGCATTTGCATTGAGGAGTTAATTTTGATGATTCATTGTTTTGTTTAAATTGAAATTGAGAATTGTTGCCTATGTTTGATCCGTAGGCAATTTCATATCATAGTTCCATTGGAGTTTGGTGATTGTCCGCCCTTACAAACATGCTGTAACTCATACCTCTAAGTTATTTATGGTTTGATATACAGAAGTAATATTCATGTACGATGTGATATATTTTAGTATTATTGTCTCGTGACGTTTTTTTGCACTTGTAATAGAGAGATCTCAAAATCGACTACCGCGAATGACAAATATATGTGACTGAGATCATCACCTCAAATCAAACTAAGCTAACATTTTATATGGGATCCGCATGATGTCAATCACACGGTTACGACCATTCCATCATGAATCATGGTGTGCTACCTCGTTCATATGACTAATTTTTAGGTGTACTTTGAAGCAGCATCGTCTAGTATTATTATTTCACTTAAATTATAAAACATATATATATATATATTTTAAGGTAAATTTCAATTTACTATCTTCATGTTTTGTGATTTTCAACATTTAGTACATCAAGTTTTTTTTTTGTCTCAAAGTTATACCTAAAGTGTAACTTTTGGGAGTCTCATACATTCAATAGTCAAACTGTTAAATCTTCCGTTAACTAATGACGTGATGCCTATATGAACAATAACAAGGCATCACGTGTCAATAAAAGGCCCACTTGAATATTAAAAAAAAAAATTTAATACAAAATAAATAAAATAAAATCCCCCCCCTCTGTCTCCTACCCCATCCTACTCCCTTCCTTCCTCTGCAATCCGCACCGGAGGTAAATTGTCTGCCCTCCTGTTTGGATATCTTTCCCATCTTCTTTTATTTTGTGCGATCACGGTTAAGTCACGTCAATATTTTATATTGATTTTTTTATAAAGATAATAAAATATAAAATAATAAGAATATAAAATGTTGACATGGCTTAATCGTAACCAGACAAATAGAAAGTGATGGAAAATGCAGCCAAACAAGGCAGACAATCTACCTCCACCTGCACCTCCCTCCCTTCCATCTCTCCTCTGCAACCCGCAACACCTCCACCATTCCTCTTCACACCACCACCTCCTCCACCATTCCTCTCCCAAGCCCCGCGAGAACAGAATCGCCCCCGAAAAAAAAAAAAAATTAAAAAAAAAATCTCGTATCTTCCTTCTTCCTTTCACCGCCGACCCACCTGCAAGTCCAAGCCACCGACCAACCTTCGCATCCGTCGTCATCTTCAAAAACAAAAAAAAAATAAAAGGTTTCGATTTACTGAAGGACTTGCTTGTAACTCAAGCCGTTTCCTCCATAATTCCACACCAGCTCCCCAAAATTTCAAAATCCAAGAGAATCCCATTTCTGGGAAATGTTAAATATGGTGCTCTCCAACGTTACAATCTATGAAATCGATGTGGGTCCGTTGCGTTTCGAGCTGGGAGACGACGGAATCGCAGTTATTGATTCTGGGGTCACCTGCAATCTGAATATGAATTGGCACTATTCTTACAGTGCTTGGAGTGCTTTGTTTTAGATGAAGGTCGTGCTTCGATTCAGAAGCAATCAAAAACCAAAACAATAAAATTCAAAACTTTCCCTCAAAAGTAAATTTCCCGAAAATCCCATCTTACGGAATCGGTACTTCCGAAACATGAGAATGCTGCTGGAGAAAAGCCTGCTGCATCAGAGCTTGTTGCTGCAGCTGCTTCAGAGAGAGAAGAAATTTGAGGGTTTTGCCGAGAAATTTGATGGTTAGGGTTCGAGCAGAGGGCCTCAGAGAGAGAAGAAAAATTGGGTCTCGGGTTTGCGAAATCATTGGACAACGGAATATGGCATTGTCTCCAGGGTCGGGGGAGATTCTGGTCTCGCGGGACTTGGGGACGGGTCGGCTGTGGACCGCCAACGACGAGGGTTGGGGTGCAGGAGAAGGAGGAAGAAGAGGGTGGGGGTTAGGAGAGAAATGGTGGAGGAGGTGGTGGTGTGGAGAGGAATGGTGGAGGTGTTGCGGGTTGCAGAGGAGAGATGGAAGGGAGGGAGGTGCGGGTTGGGGGTTGCGGGTTGCAGAGGAGAGATGGAAGGGAGGGAGGTACGGGTTGCAGAGGAAGGGAGGGAGGGGAATGAGATGGGGAGGGGAATGTCACGTCATCAATTAACGGGAGAGTTTGACTAACGGATTTATGAAACTGTCCTAAAATTTACACTTTAGGTAAGAAAAAAAACTTGATGTATTAAAGGTTGAAAATCACGAAACATGAGGTAGTAAACTGAGATTTTTTTTTTTTTATTAATTTACCTAAGTACCACAAAATATAATTTTATCCTAGTAAGCTTTTCGATTCACGCCAAACGAAGGTATTATATGTTCACACATATATATATATATATATATATTCACAACCATAAGAAAGAAGAAAACAACTCTTGGTACAGAGCAAAAATGAAGCACTAACGGATTCCCACGCACCAAACTCTGAGAACAAACAAAAACAGAACCAAATTATATAGCAGCATGCAAGTAACGAAGGAACAAAGAAAAAAGAATCCAAAATTTGAAAAAAGCGCATAAACAAACTGGGAAACTCACCACAAAACGATAAATAAACTACTTTTAAGTGTGATTTTATAATATTAGTTTGCAAAAGAAAATGAACAAATAAATAAACAACTCCAAACTCCCAAGTTTACAACTCACACTGCTTGATTTGATGCGCAGCAGTGACGAGAAAACCTATTCAGGACAGGGAAAGGTGCAGTGTGTGAACGTTCCTAATGATTTGCAAAAATTGAAAGTAAATAAAATAAATAGATAGAGCACAAAGGCGGAAAGGGGAGAGAGGTTAGGTGAAAATTGGGATCACGTGCCGGGATCAGGAGATTCAGGACTTGTTGTTGAAGTCCGATTGCAGAGTTCTGAATTGTGGAGGTCCGATCCGTTTCCTGTTCGGGTAATCTTTCTTTATTGTTTTAGAGCTGAGCTCAGCTGCTGACTCCGGACGGACTCCGAATCACCAACCAACCGTTTTCGCCGGCAGTGTGGTCGGAATCGGATGGCTGAGCTCGATTGATTTGATTGAAGTAACAACTAAGGTTAATTCTTCAACCTTCCTTGGTGATTGCATTTTTGTTGAAGAATTGTCATTAATTATGGATAAATGGATATTTTTGGATTAATTTAGGATTTAAGTGGATGGAATGATACCTTAGTGGGAGTTGGAACCCTAACACTGCTCTGATGATAGACATTTATGAACAGATTAGATTGGTTTTCTATTTTTACTTATTAATTTAGGGTTTCTATCTTTTTGTGTTTGATTTGAGGGTGAGGGTTCCATTTCCTAATTTCCAATCCTATGAATTGCTGTAAGAAAGTCTCTGTTTTTCCTACATGCATTGCATTGTTCCCAACTTCAGAACACTGAGATGTCTAGTTCCGACTCCTTAGCTGCGCATTACTGTATTTGTATATCGTGGTCATGGATTCGTTGATTGTGCACACGGAGCATAACGCATTGACACATGAACCAACACTTTGTGTATGTGTATGTGTGAAATAGGCACTCGACGCAGTTTTAGCTGTAGTTTCTGCGGAATGGTTAATCTGTATTGTAGACTTTGCAATGATTTTCAATTGTACAACACTTTTTGTAAGTAATAAGTCATGATAGTTGTGAAAGAATTCAAGAAATCACAAGCAAGAGAAATAACATCGCCCCACACATGTGCCTATATGCCATGCTTCAGGGTGGTTCCATGGTTCACTCTACGCTTATGGACTAACATTCAGAGATTGAAGTTGATGTATGGGGAATGAGCATATATTTAAGCACATCATGATTTCAGGTGTTCCCCATCTGCGCACTAAGGCAAGTACTTGATGGCTGACTTACCAGGCTATATGCGTGCCTGCTTGCACACTGGAAAACTTGCCGCCCTGGCAATTTTGGTCTCTGGAGGGATTGTATTGCAAATTTTGGTGGGTAGTGCTTCTTATTGTCAGTTATGCTCAATTCATATGTAATTAGTAAGCTTTTCTCTGTTGTAAGTTGATGGTCATACTAGGTTCTCATCTATCACGGCTTTTGATGCAGGCGTGTGCTTTGTACAATAATTGGTGGCCAATGCTAACTGGTAGGTTCTGAACTGTTGTTTTCCTTCGTAAACTTGCTATGTGATGCCTTTTCTTTTGGCCAAATAAGCTGTTATGTTATGCTACGTGTTAATGTGCTTGTAAGATGATAGGTATGCCAGTACTCAAAAGATTTCAATTTTTGATTATCTAGCTCCTTTAAGAAAGAATCTTTAAGGGTAATGATATTCTATTCCCTTTATTTTAATTCCCATAACTCAAATGAATAAATAGATCTGAATACATTTTACTTTTTTGCTTTCTTTTTTGTTGAAGTTTCTTGTATCTCTTTGCTTCATGGTTTCAGAATTATTTTCATATTTGTCTTTGACCTGATTAGAAACAAGAGCCTTTGGGCCTTCGGTCAGGTGGTAAAAGGATAGTGATATGGTTTGATGGTGACTTTAAATGACATCTAGGATAGCAACAACATGTACGGACATAGGTTCAGGAATAAATCAGGGTTGGATATCTCTGCTGTCTTGTATTTATGGTATTGGTTTTGGTGATATTCCACACCCCCCTAATGCTTATATTCGATTGATGGTTAAAGGTGATTAGTAATTCTTCTATACAGGTGAATGCTTTCACTAGAAATAATTGCTTTCCAATAACTAAAATGTGCGGATAATGGAATTCCACGATCATATCGTCCCCTTATTTGCTGGTGTCAAAGTCTGTTATATTTTCATCATTGGCCTGTTCAACTTAACATTTTTTAATTATCAAAACAAGATAAATATTACATTTTTAAGGAATCTTCCCTCGAGAGAACATCCTCTATATAGGTTTCAATGATTTGAATGAAAACATGCATGCTGATGGTGTGGTCATCTTACGATGTTTTGCAGTAATAATGTATGTGCTTCTTCCCTTGCCATTGCTGTTCTTTGTGGGATCCGATTTTTCTATATTTTCACAATCTGAAAATGGGTTTGTCTTTCTCCCCTGAACTTGCTTACTGAAATAACTATTCGTTTAAAGCCTAAAGCTGCATCAACATTATTCGTGTTCTTACTCCCTTCGCTTATTAAATACTGTATGATGAAACAGCTGGGTAAATGCAACCAAGTTCTTGACCGGAGCTTCAGCTATTGGAAGCATTGCAATCCCTGCTATCTTAAAACACGCTGGTGTAATTGGTTGGGGGGCCCTGGCTATGGAGCTCTCATCCTTTTTCGTATTTGTACTGGCAATAATGTGTTACATTCGGACGAGTGATGATGATGACAGCTACAGTTCGATCTGAGGTATGCCTCTCCTGCGGTCCTGCCAGATTTCTGTAAAGACGCGTTATTTTCCCATAAGATGTTTCTATTTCTTGGTGAACATTGCCTCCAATATCAGCTTGTTATATATTCCAAAACTGCTTTCCCCTTTACGTTTTTTCCTGTTCGAGTGTAATTCTTTATCCATATAATTGAGTGTGTATTGTGTTTAATACGTTTTAACATCTCATTGTATCGTTTCCCATCAGAATTGTGTATCCTTGTACCTTTAGTGTAGTTGATGGTTTGGTCGTCACATTATGGTCTCCGTTGGTGAGATAAGTTTCGGGTTGAGCTCATATGAATGCATTTGATATGCTTTGTGGCCACCCTTATTTAGTGGATTGGTTTTGCATTTAACGAAAAATCATATTTTTACATTAAAAAGTCAATTCTGGTATTATTCATTTTACCCTTTATTTTGTCCTTATCATTAAAACTCAAAGTTTTCAAGTTTTTTTCATTAATTTTCCTTAAAAAAAAAATGAAAACTGAAAGTAGTTCCCAAACGAGTTTTGAGTTTTAGTTTTCAAAAAATGTGATAAAAATGAAAATTGAAAACGAAATGATTATCAAAAGGCCTCACAGAAAAACAAAAATCACTTACAATAGTATGTTGTTGAACTGAAACATCATGCCGCAATGGACCTGTTTTATGTACATACATAGTCCATAAAAGTAAACAATACCGAAGCGCCAAGGGGTGGGCTCGGTACATCAAAAACCGAACTAAAAAAGTTTGATTGAAAACCAAATTGAGACTAAAAACACAAACGAAACCGAAAACTATTGGTTCGGTTTCAGTTTTGATAGTTCAAAGTTCAAACATCAAACCAAACCAAATATAAATCAATATTTTTTTATATATTTATGTTGTGTATTCATTTTTCAAAGTCCACCTTGAAATTAAACATTAGTCTAATTTCAATTTAAAGTTAGATAAACTCAACTATAGGCTTAATTATGTTTTGAACAAACGATATTATCTATATTAAAGGAGAATGCTAAACCTCACAATATGCTAGCAATAATGTGGTTCAAATTTGCTTTCGACAAAAATAACTTAAAATCTCTCACTAACAAATGAAGAGAAAAATCTTATTTCTTATATATTTTCTAGCTTAAAAATATAAAGATTTTTTTTTTTTTACAAAAACACAAAAACCAAAGTGGACTAAAAGCCAAATTCATCTTTGTTGGAAAAGGAAAACATTTTAGAAATATGATTTAATTAGTGATTTTATATAATTTAATTAAGATTTTGATATGATTTGATTTGGTTAGGTTTCTTTGTCTTGTAAATAAATGATTTATTTCCTAATGTTACTCATTTGTAATCTTATAAATATATCTGTAAAGAAACATAAAATATTAAAATTATTATTCGAGTTTGAAAGATTATTAAAAAAATTCTTCTATTTGTCTTAAACCCTTTACTTTCAGTTATTTTGCGAGGCAGAAAACGCTCTATTCGTAGAAAGTGAGAAGTGAAAAGCATGACAATGGACACCGCCACCATGGGAGAGCAAGAGCAGCTGCGCCTCCAACTCTCCGCCCTCCACTTAAACACTCCGCCTCCTCCGCCGCCTCTTTACCAAAACTTGTATGAGTCTGGTGACCAACAAGTCTTCTACAACGACGACGGCTTGCTGTTCGACATCGGGTTCGGAAACGTGATTGTCGTCGATAACCTTCCAATTGTTGATGCCAGGATGGCCGAGAAGCTCGAAAGCGAAATCCGACTAGCGTTTAGTGAAGTTGGTGTGATTAAACACGATGGGGTTTCCGTGCCTCTGAATCCCCAAACCCACGCAAGCTTGGGTCGTTGTTTTATAGAGTTTAATTCTCGTCAGGTAGTATTTATGTTCTGTGTTGAATTGGGAATTTCATGCTTTTATTTTCATGCTGCCGAACTTGAATTTGATTAGGTTTACAGTAGTTAAAATGAAATCAAATGAGTATGAGTGGTGATAAATGTGTTCAACCGTTTGATTTGAAGCAGAAATATTAAATCATGTCTATTGGATTGGATGCAATAATTTTGAAATGAGGTAGAGCCCTGCTAGAGCATTGAATCATACACTTCATCGAAACTCCGCATTCCACCATGGAAACCATGGGAAAAGATTTCATTTTTCGGTTCAATGTTGTCGCTTTTTACCTCATAGTGTAGATGGAGTGAAACGAAAGAGTTTCCGGGAAATGTTGGAATGGCGAATAGAGTTCCTTTTTTGGCTTCCTTTTGGTCTTCAATTTTCTTTGGAGTTGAAGGCGCCGTTGTATTGACGCCTCTCTTTTCTGTTTTGGCTAAGGATTTGTATGTATTCCAGGGGATCACTTGCCGGCTATGTCCTTTTTATTCGATTTGTAGCATATTAATTTGATCTAGGCGTTTCTCAACTGTATAGGTTTAGAATGCTATCATCCAAGTGTTAGATATTTTAGAGAGTAAAGCGTGGGCAGTGGTGAATATAGGTGGTTTGCTGATATACAAGGCGTGCATTAATTGTTGTGTATTTCTCATCCGCTCATCGATATGCATTTCTTTGGCATCTCATCTTTTCATGTTTCCCTTTGCAGGAAGCGGAACTTGCTAGGGAGAAGAGAGATGGATACAACTTCCATACACATACACTATCAGTAAGCCTGTATGATGACTTGGACAGGTTCGTTGATATCCTTGATGAGGGGACTATTCCAGAAACTTATCCAGCCGCTTGTATGGTAATTTTTCGTAACCTCACTGTGCCTGTCAACTATCATTTTTATTTTATTTCTATGTTTTCAGTTGCTTCTTGTTGTACGGTATATTTTCTATCGATTCAACTTTTCTATATGCATTTAGCAAGCAGGATATTTTCGTCATTATTTATCATAATTGTATTGAACATTATCTAATATCTATGTCAAATTCTGTTTATTTCAAATGCATATTGAGATGAATTGTAACCTTATGGGAAGAAATTATAACTAAGGAAGAGAAGCCAGACGCTATGACTATAAGCGTTTGAGTTGAAATTTTGCCATTTTGAATTTCTTAATGTAACGAAGTCGATCAGTTTCTTTCTTTCATTTCTGAAGTTTTAATTTCAAGTTCTTTATTTCTGAGAGCTCTTAACAGTCATTTAGTTGAGAATAGTATATACAATGAACTATATAACTGGAAAACTTGAAGGCAATAAATGAAAAGCTTGATGATAGGAACAGTAGTATTTTGGTCCAAGAAAAGGCTTTGTTTGGCTTGTGATTATTGGAGACTACTTAAGACTCAGGCCATGTCACTAAAGTCTGTTGTCCGCATCGTGAGCATCCCACTCGTGCTATAAAAAAGTACATCATGGTGAAATTGCAGATTATAGCTGTGGTATTACACAGCTAATGCGTTTCACATTCCAATTTTGGTGAATTGTTATGATTCCTGCTCGTAATCTCAATTGGTTTTCATGATAATTGTGTCTTGATACCTTGTGGTGTTTAATCTAATGGAGAAAACATTTATGGATGGTGGAATAACTGCAACCGGTTGATGTTTACCAACGCACGCTTATTGCGTAGGTTAGTGTTCGTTACTTTCTTAATGATTCAGAAGGTCTCATCACAGTCTCGTACGATCATTTTCATGTTACGTTTGGGGTTAGGACCATGAAGTATCGACATTAAGTTATTAAGAAATGGGGATTTTCTATTGCCATGATATCAATTACAGTACTTTATTCCTCTTATGTTCTTGAGTTGGCATTCATACTGTAGTTAGTAATGTATGCGTTGCATCATTGGACGCTTATTTTTCAGCATGATTTTATAATAACTGAATAGCACTGCAGAATCTGTTAGACAATGTAAGTTTGCCGCACCATCGGGTATTTATTTTTCGTTTTTGTTAAAAATAAACTAAATCTTTTCTGCAGTCCTCAAGGTATACGGGGCCATCCCCGTTGCTTAGTCCCTTGAAAGAGGAAGAAGTACCCGAAGAAGCCGATCGAGTAAACCGCGGCAGAGAAGCAAGAGAGCAGAAGGAGCAAGATTTCGGGGAAGTCATGGCATCAATTGGAATGATGAGTATTAGAGGGGAAAGCATGGAATGAAGACTGGAAGTGTACATGCACATTTTGAAGTGAATTTCCTGTGCTGAGTGCTCTAAATTTTCATCCCATATTTCTCACCCAACAGCTTTGTAACAATTATTATTATTACAAGTTTATCCGGCGTAAAATTACTTTCAATGAAATAAGATATCTTTCAAACAAAGATAGAGGACATCTCCGATGGAGAGGAATAAATGTCCAAAAACCAAAAAATAGTTTGATCCGTTCAAAAACTCATCTCTAACCGAAGGTTAGGCTATAATTCTATGGAGCTCATTATGCCGTTATTTGGCCAAAAGGGCATCAAGCTGGCTAAATATAGCTCCCATCTTAGTCTTTTTTTTAAGGCTCAGTTTTTCAGTTGCAATAATTGATTATTTAATGGCTAGATTTGAAAACATTAAAGGTAGTTTGATTAAATTAACTAATAAATTTAAAGTATAAACTTAAAACTACGTTCGGTTGGTGATAGTACATGAGTACGGTCTGACACCGTTCATTTAAAAATAATATTTTGTAGGACTATAATTCTGAAGAGTGTTATATTTAGTACTTTCGGTTGGAAATGACCTAAGGCCTACTTACTTAGCTGAAGCTAATTTGCAACGATCAATTTGTGGATAAGTTAATGTTTGAATAATGCTCTAATACATCAAGCATACACATCGAAATCAAAAATAGAAAGAGTAAAGAGTAGTCTGATTTATGATATTAATAGACACGTTAATCAGTGAAACGTAGATGTCTCTGTATTATAATGGTCGCATAGTAGGAGGGGATACTAGGTGAACAGATGGCTAAGGACTCAGAGATCTGCAACACGTTGGAAATCTATTTGGTGTTGATTGTCCATAATCTATTTCCACTTATTTAAGAGCGAGAAAAACGAGACGTTTTAGAGCATTTTTCAGAAAGATGTCAAATTGTCCAAATCAGCAATAACGGTAACAAAAGACAACATTAATGTTTTCCAATCGAGAAGTCAAATCTGATGTGGTATGACATGGATTGACATCTCTTCCCCTTACTGCTAAATTTGACAGCACCTTCAGATTTTTTTAATTAATTATTAAATGTTTTTTATTGATTTTTTATTAGTTTAAAACATTATCCTTTTTTTTCTTTTCATTCCCAATACAAAGAAAGTACATGAATTATTATTTTATATTTAAAATTTAACGTATCGGTTAGAGAAAAAAAATTTAAAAAATATCAAAATATCATGTAAGTCTTCAAATTTAAATTTTAGATTTAAAATTTGACATCTCATTTAGAAATGGTATTAGAAACAGCGCTGAGGTACACTCCCACATCGTCCAGACGAGGATTCAGAGTACGCTTTATATAGGATTTGCCTGCAGGTAAGCTCGTCCCTTCGGGGACATCCGATAAAATTGGAACGATACAGAGAAGATTAGCATGGCCCCTGCGCAAGGATGACACGCATAAATCGAGAAATGGTCCAAATTTTTTTTTGAATCCGTCCAATCAAACGGTTTCAATCTCCTTCGTTTCGCTGCATTCAAGGTAATTTCAGTTCTTAAAAACAAAATTTTCAAAGATTTCTGGGATTCTTTTTGCTTCTTCGCTGTTAAATTACTAAACTCGAAGTTAATTTTGTTCAAACACCAAGTATTGTTCTTCAATTTGTTCTTACAAGAAAGCATATGAGAACGTGGCACACTACCTGTTCGATGAAATGTGTCTGAGAATCTGTCAATCTGATGTATTTTTGTCGGAGCGTAAAAATTCGGCTCTTCCGATCCTTAAACAAGTAATCTTGTAACCATGTCCAATGGAGGAGTAATTTTCGATTGCTTTGCTCGACTGTAGCTCCGCTTCCCCATGTTTTCATGGGTTGTTTTGTTGAACTTTAGCTTACTTGTTTCTCTGGTTAATTTTGATTTGGTTCTTAATGTTTTAGTTGGCAACCAGCACTGCATCTTTCTGCAAAGATGGAGAGGAGTGAAGGGCAAAATTTTCGCGTCCGAAATTTAGAGAAGTCAGATAAAAGCAAGGGTTTCATACAACTGTTGCAACAGCTAACTGTTTGTGATTCTGTATCTGACAAGGAGTTTGCAGATAGGTTCGGAGAGATTAGCTCCCTCGGAGATGACCATGTTATCTGTGTTTCACGTTCCAATTTTGGTGAATTGTTATGATTCCTGCTTGTAATCTCAAGTGGTTTTCATGATAATAGTGTCTTGATACCTTGTGGTGTTTAATCTAATGGAGGAAACATTTATGGATGGTGGAATAACTGCAACCGGTTGATGTTTACCAACGCACACTTATTGCGTAGGTTAGTGTTCGTTACTTTCTAAATGATTCAGAAGGTCTCATCACAGTCTCGTACGATCATTTTCATGTTGCGTTTGGGTTAGGACCATGAAGTATCGACACTAAGTTATTAAGAAATGGAGATTTTCTATTGCCATGATATCAATTTCAGTACTTTATTCCTCTTATGTTCTTGAGTTGGCATTCATAATGTAGTTAGTAATGTATGCGTTGCATCGTTGGACGCTTATTTTTCAGCATGATTTTGTAATGACTGAACAGCACTGCAGAATCTGTTAGACAATGTAAGTTTGCCGGACCATCGGGTATTTATTTTTCGTTTTTGTTAAAAATAAACTGAATCTATTCTGCAGTCCTCAAGGTATACGGGGCCATCCCCGTTGCTTAGTCCCTTGAAAGAGGAAGAAGTACCCGAAGAAGCCGATCGAGTAAACCACGGCAGAGAAGCAAGAGAGCAGAAGGAGCAAGATTTCGGGGAAGTCATGGCATCAATTGGAATGATGAGTATTAGAGGGGAAAGCATGGAATGAAGACCGGAAGTGTACATGCACATTTTGAAGTGAATTTCCAGTGCTGAGTGCTCTAAATTTTCATCCCATATTTCTCACCCAACAGCTTTGTAACAATTATTATTATTACAAGTTTGTCCGGCATAAAATTACTTTCAATGAAATAAGATCTCTTTCAAACAAAGATAAAGGACATCTCCGATGGAGAGGAATAAATGTCCAAAAACCAAAAAATAGTTTGATCTGTTCAAAAATTCATCTCTAACCGAAGGTTAGGCTATAATTCTATGGAGCTCATTAGGCCGTTATTTGGCCAAAAGGGCATCAAGCTGGCCAAATGTAGCTCCCATCTTAGCCTTTTTTTTTTAGGCTCAGCTCTTTGGTTGTAATAATTGATTATTCAACGGCTAGTTTTGAAAACATTAAAGGTAGTTTGATTAAATTAACTAATAAATTTAAAGTATAAATTTAAAACTACGTTCGGTTGGAGATGGTACATGAGTACGGTTTGACATCATTCATTTAAAAATAATATTTTACAAAGCTATTATATTTAGTACTTTCAGTTAGAAATGACCTAAGGCCTACTTACTTAGCTGAAGCTAACTTACAACGATCAATTTGTGGATAAGTTAATGTTTGAATAATGCTCTAATACATCAAGCATACACATCGAAATCAAAAATAGAAAGAGTAAAGAATAGTCTGCTTTATGATATTAATAGACACGTTAATCGGTGAATCGTAGATGTCTCTGTATTATAATGGTCGCATAGTAGGAGGGGATACTAGGTGAATAGATGGCTAAGGACTGAGAGATCTGCAACACGTTGGAAATCTATTTGGTGTTGATTGTCCATAATCTATTTCCACTTGTTTAAGGAAAGTTTTAACGAAAAGTTCACGATACTGTCTACTTTAACGAAAAATCATATTTTTACACTAAAAAATCAAGTCTAGTACTATTCACTTTACCCTTTGTTTTGTCCTTATCATTAAAACTCAAAGTTTTCAAACTCTTTTCATTAATTTTCTTTTATTTAAGGGCAAGCAAACCGAGACGTTTTAGAGCATCTCCAAAGAAGATGTCAAATTATCAAAATCAGTAATAATAATAATAAAAGACAAATTAATGTTTTCTAACCGAAAAGCCAAATCTGATATGGTATGAAATGGATTGATATCTCTTCCCCTTCCTGCCAAATTTGACAGCACCTTCAAATTTTTTTAATTAATTATTAAATGTATTTCATTAATTTTTTATTAGTTTAAAGCATTTTTTTTTATTTCTTTTCATTTCCAATGCAAAGAAAGTACATGAATTATTATTTATGTTTAAAATTTGACATATCGGTTAGAGTGAAAAAATTTAAAAGATATCAAAATACCATGTAAGCCTTCAAATTTAAATTTTAGGTTTAAAATTTGATACATGCTTTAGACATGGTATTAGGAACAGTGCTGAGGTACACTCCCACATCGCCCAGACGTGGATCCAGAGTACGCTTTATATAGGTTTTGCCTGCAAGGAAGCTCGTCCCTTCGGGGACATCCGATAAAATTGGAACGATACAGAGAAGATTAGCATGGCCCCTGCGCAAGGATGACACGCATAAATCGAGAAATGGTCCAAATTTTTTTTTGAATCCGTCCAATCAAACGGTTTCAATCTCCTTCGTTTCGCTGCATTCAAGGTAATTTCAGTTCTTAAAAACAAAATTTTCAAAGATTTCTGGGATTCTTTTTGCTTCTTCGCTGTTAAATTACTAAACTCGAAGTTAATTTTGTTCAAACACCAAGTATTGTTCTTCAATTTGTTCTTACAAGAAAGCATATGAGAACGTGGCACACTACCTGTTCGATGAAATGTGTCTGAGAATCTGTCAATCTGATGTATTTTTGTCTGAGCGTAAAAATTCGGCTCTTCCGATCCTTAAACAAGTAATCTTGTAACCATGTCCAATGGATGAGTAATTTTCGATTGTTTTGTTGAACTCTAGTTTACTTGTTTCTCTGGTTAATTTTGATTTGGTTCTTAATGTTTTAGTTGGCAACCAGCACTGCATCTTTCTGCAAAGATGGAGAGGAGTGAAGGGCAAAATTTTCACGTCCGAAAATTAGAGAAGTCAGATAAAAGCAAGGGTTTCATACAACTGTTGCAACAGCTAACTGTTTGTGATTCTGTATCTGACAAGGAGTTTGCAGATAGGTTCGGAGAGATTAGCTCCCTCGGAGATGACCATGTTATCTGTGTTGTAGAAGATGATTGCTCGGGGAAGATTATTGCAACTGGAAGCGTGTTCATCGAGAAGAAGTTCATCAGGAACTGTGGCAAAGTCGGTCACATTGAAGACATTGTGGTTGATGCTGATGCTCGTGGGATGCAGTTAGGGAAGAAAATCATTAGCTTCCTCACGGATCATGCTCGTTCTGTTGGGTGTTATAAGGTGATTCTTGATTGCAGCAACGAGAACAGAGCATTCTATGAGAAGTGCGGCTTCAAGCAGAAAGAAATTCAGATGGTCAAGTATTTCAATTGAAAAGCTTTCTTTTTCTTAATGTATTTTTCTTCGTGTCTTTCGATCTTCATTCGAAATAAGATCGCAAATGCAATTCGTAACTCAAAAACCATGATTTATGACTTCTTGATGTTGGCATTTTGCTTCGTTTGTATTGTGTTGCGTTGTGCAATATGAAATAAACAAGGGTCCGCTTGGCCAAAAATAGAGTGTGAAAATCATTTCTCTAAATTTGTAACACGATCCAGGCAATGTCAATGTTCGCCTAATTAGTGATTATATCTGTAACGTCCTTTTCAGTTTATAGTAAAATGACCATCTATTTCGTTCAAAACCATGTTTTCAGAGTGCCGGGAACAAAGGGTAAAAGATCATTTCCACAAATCTTCAGATTACAAGTTGGAGCCTGGATCGATTCGTGCAGTTCTATACAAGCAACGCTCATTGTACTGTTAGGAACTGCGGATTGCGCGTAGAGCCGGGCGTCATAGGAGGCTGCTAGCAAGAAATGAAGGACGGAATTTTTGGGTCAATAGCATTACCAAATTTTCCAAATCTATAAGAGCAGTTGCCTTGCAGTAAGGTATTGATGCTTCAAAATTGCAACTTCAGCATCCGAATTAAACATGCAATTTCCTTACAAAAAGTAACTATTGATCTATGCCGCTACATGGCATCAAAACAGGCGATCGATCAAATAACACAAGTTCGATCAAATAACACAAGTTACAGTTGATTCAACTCAATTACAAGTAATGAGCGCGGCGGGCAACTGAACAAATTCCTAGTCCCGACCATTCGTGTATAGTTGTGGTTATTAACATCCCAGACAGAAAGCTGAAAAAAGTACAAGAAGACGCCTCAATGAGATGTATGTGGTATAAACGTGTGATACATCAAAGAGATTATTACACAATATACTCAAATAATCATTATTCAAAAAATCGAGTGAAAAATGATATGTAAGCACCTATTTAGGTTGAACCTAATTCACCTCCTAGTCTTTAGCTATCTTGGAAGGCTGTGCACAAAAGTAGTCGCAATTCGGAAATCTATTATTTCACCATGAAAGAACTTTTACAACTGCACCCCCCGACCGCACTTGGATTTGTAGTCACCTGAACATGAAACCAGGATTAGGTTAAATATACATGAAATTCCTGTGTAAAAGATGTGACCAACTTCATTATCATAAAGTTACAACCCAAAGACAGACATATATGCAATCGCATAACAAAACACGATGCTTCCTCTTAAGGCATCTGACGCACTATATTAACTACCAGTAACTGCAATGAAATGGAAATACAGAAATCAAAACAACAGAAATAAATTGAACCTGTGGATCTTCAATCCTAACGAGTTACAACCAAATTCTAGGCTCTAGCTTTATTAATTTGCTCCATACTGCAAAACCAATATGGTAATGGAACAGCTGAATTTGTGCCTCAAATCCACACAAATTCAGCGGAAGACTATTTGAGTGGGATTGCCATTTCTCCAAGTCAGACGGTAACACATTGACATCTGAACACTCATCAATAGTTCTTAGCAAAAAGTCTAAGAGAAAACTAATGTAGTTAATATTTTAAAACGAATTAACTTCATGACATGAGACCTCTTAGAATTGGAGAGTTTTCCTGGTGAGGGCCTCTCATTGAGAGCTGAACGAATAGAATGTGCAGCAGGTGTACTTTGCGTCCTATAATGGTGTATTTGAATGAGGGGTTTCCAAGTACCAAGGGATTTAGGTTACATTAGTAAGAAATGCACAGTACATGAGCATTACAACAGCCACTAAACATTTAGAATTTTCAATTGACTCCTTTCAAGTAGTCATTTACAAATCCCTCTAAGCGCATTGCATCTAGTCGTTTCAAATCCTCTATCCAATGTTTTGTAGTGCATTTTTTACTATTGTAGCCTAAATTCCTTGATACTTTGAAAATTCCTCATCCAAACACACACCATAAGAGTCTTGTCCTACCAAATTTGGAAGGGATTCAGCAGATTTCAGATTTTAAACATCCCCATATTGTTTGACCAAACCCGTAACGGGCGCACTACAAACCTAAGCAACCACACATAAGGGCATAGCCATGTTAAAAGCACCCCTGTTCTATAGCCTGGGGAAGTTTCCTCCTAATCCCACCTGTAACAAAGTCCACTCATTTAAAAGAACAAAACCGAGAAATCAAGCTTCCATATCCCAACTGAACTCACTGCAAGATTCTTCCATCCCTTATGGCTATTCCTAATCAACTACCACCCACTCATTCACATAGAACAAACAGTTTTATCAATTCTCGAACTCACCGCTCCATTTCGTTAGAAAAAGAAATTCCTAAAACAATTTCTTTATTGTAACTTCCCTCCCTGAAAGACAAAATCCCTTGTTCTGCTTGTCTAGACAACGCCAGCAATAACCAATCTGTTGCACAGCAGAAGAGCATTGTATTGCATTGCCAATTATCTCTCGTTTACCACAACCTACTTAGAAAAAAATAAAGGTCATGATGCCAAATACAGGAAACCGTTATGATACTTTCTAACATGGTATACATGCTCACTGAATTATTGGATAGCCCGTCAAGGGAACCGTTATGATACTTTCTAACATGGCCGACAGTGCACAATGGTGAGCCTAGACCTATACAATGTCTATCATTGTTATATTTGATACACAGAATACCATTATGCAATGCTAGACTTTTATATCTAGCGGATGGTTCTTACTTATCTTATGCACTGACACCACGATAGGCATCATTCATCCAACAGAAAACATTTCAAGCAGATATTTCATTATAAAAGAATGTACTTCTAACTGTCATAAAAGAAGACCACTGGCAGATGCTCATTACTTTTCTTATGCTCACCAAGATAGGCATAGTTAACAAAAATAATTTCAAGCGCATCTTTCTAAAGAATATATTTCTTGACTACGTATTCTAGTTCACATATCCCGAACAGTGAAATTTCATGTGGGGTCATGTGTGTAAGATTTGACGTGCACCAGAGACAGGAAAATTAAAGAACAAAGCATGAAATGGAATGAGATAAATTGACTTACTTGGAAAGCAGAACGAATCAGCTCCTCAACATAATCAACAGTTGCTCCTTTCACAAAATCATACGAAATATTGTCGACCACCAACTTTACTCCTCCTTTCTCAAATACTCTATTACAGAATGCATGGATTTCCAGTTAACCAAGCAAACTAAATAAGCAAAAACGTTCTTATTCAAGAATTATAAATAATGAGGGAGACAATAAATACCTGTCATCCGGATGGCTTCTGTCATCCAGATCAAAAACATATTGGAACCCAGAACATCCACCGGTTTCTACACTCAAACGTAGCATCTTTCCCTCCGCTTCACTGGCTTGCAGCTGCTTCATTCTCTGTGAGACGTCCGTTAAGAAACCAAAGTCAGCACACATTAGTATGCAACTCACTCAAGATACAAGTATGGATTACCCTGACCAAAAACAACAAAGGATTACAGACACAAAAGCCCATAAGCCACATTAAACTCTCTTCGCCCAAAAACTGCATATCGCGAGCATGATAACCAATTCAATAAGAAGGAAAAACCGAAATGGTACTCGGATTATCTGCTGGAATATAGCTGTTTGGCTGGTTAGAGTCTAACATCATAAGCGTTCTTCGTGCATCCACTACAAAGTTTAAACATTTCTTGTCTGTGTTTCTATTTTGTGATTCATTCCTCAAAATTAACGAAAATGGTCAGCTAAACAACGGAATTAAAACCATTTCGGGATTCATTCCTTTCGAGAAAATAAAGGAAAGATATAATTCCACATATCTACAAATTGATAACCCAAACATAGAAATGGAAAAGCCAGGCAGCCCACATATGGTATCGAATTGCAAGATAGGGAGAGAGGGATTACTTGAACACAGGTATCAGTCATGTGAACGGATTCGAGGTCGACGGACGGAGATGGAGAAGAAGAGGAGGCTTCTTCTGCAGCGGAAGAGGAAGAGGAATAGAAGAAAGAAGAGGATAGGAGCCTCTGGTTCTGCCTGATTCGAGCTGCAAAGTAGGGCGTCAGCCGGTGAAGGATCAGAGATCGTGGTGGAGCCATCGCCTGATAACGGACCTTTTGGAATTTTAGATTGCAAGATTTGGGGCGGTTGCGCGGTCTTCCGGGAATCTGGGGGTCCAGGCGGGGGAGGGGCTGGCTGGGCTGTGGCCGAAGGTGGTTTAGGACGGCCCAAGTCAGAGGAAGATTGGAAAGGCGTTAGCTGTGGAGGCACCTGGTACGTTGGGTTAGGCCATGCTGCCGCTGCAAGGTAAGGGAGGGAGAAGACTTGTATCGGACGGCGCTATCGTCACCACTTCCGTCATAATAATACAACACAGACATGTGTTATTTTTCTTTACATGTGCTGGAAGACGGCTGGTGTGTTCAATATTTAGAATATTTGTATTGGTATAAATATTGATATGTAAATTTGCAGAAGAGTAATGTTATTCATACCATGTTTTTATAATATAGTTTCATTTCATCTTAAATTATATTTGATGTGGACAGTCCCATCATTTGAATTAATCAGATTTTTAAATTTAGTTTTTTATTTAATAAACTAATATTAAGAAAAACTAGTTAATTAAATGATAATTGTGGTATAAGAGGAGTCTTTCTTATTCCTTTCTTGGGTTTTGCAAATTTTTCAAATGTTGTGGCTGTCCATATCAGATGTCATCTAATGTGGTATAGAAATGTGATATAAAAACATGATATGAATAACATTACTCTTTGCAAAAATATCGACAGATATATCAATTATCATTATCGGTTGCTTTCAATGGAAATAATGGAAATTTAAATGAAACTTTAGGGATTGTCAAATATTGGTTGAGATTCAATATAAAAGTTTCTTCAATATTTAACACAAATATGAACTATATCTGTCGATTTTAATCTAAACTTGATTTCTCTAATATGAGGCGAAGATTAGACTTCACGCATTTCTATATCTTTCTCTGCTTTTTTTTAATATTTCAATAAAAATATCAAGTGGATCGAAAAATTTTAAACTATAGGTGTACCATATTTAATTATATAATGAGAGGAATATTTGGAGAAAAAAAAATCATCAGTTGTATGATAACACATAATGTGCAGTTGTGTTCCAAGTTCATTGAGTGATTAGTTATATGTTATCAATACAATTTATTATAAAAAAAAATTTAATGTTCCTCCAAACTCCAATTATATAATTACATATAGTGAAATATTTTTGTTACCAGTACACTAAAAAATCTCTCCATTGTCATCTTGCATTGTTTTGGAAAAACAGGTGAAGGTGGTCTTAATCTCTACTAATTAATAAAACACTTATTGTTAACTAAAATTCTATGAAATTACCATTTTAACCCTTTAATTAAAACAAAACATGAATAAGAAATATGGGATAGAAATGTAATTTCACACAACCAAATTTTGATTTTTCTTTCAAAGCCTCACCTACATGTAATCCTAACATACCTCTAAATTAAAAAATAAAAAAAAAAAAAAAAAAAAAAAAAACGAACCTTCCCACTCTTACCTTATCTATCTGTTGACCCTAAAAATTACAAAGCCTACGTGGCATGTAGGTCGAGTAACTAATAAGCTAACTACGTCATTCGGTTGATGTGAGGCGTGCCAACTCGTCGGCCAAACTTGACCGAGGAGTAAAATTTGTTGATGTTGCGTTGAGCACGTTGCTAACTTCTTAATCTTGTGACTACGGTCGAGGAAGGAACACATCTCGGCCTTTGGGTTCTCAAGCCTAAAGACAAGGCTGCTAGTTCTGCGAAGTTCACGAATTGTTGCCGCCGGGTTCGATCACGGTGATTATATATGTACGAGTATAAGCACGTCGAACCGGCTTCAAATTATACGAACACAGGTACTCAAAAGAGATGTATGACTTGATGGTAAATGTAGTTCAGGCATCAGAATGCTGAACTCTGAAACTCACTTATGAGTATCCAATCATAAAATCACTCGGCATTCAATGTGTCGAATGTATTAACTTGTAACACCTTACCTCGCCAAAAAGGCTAATAAGATGACCTCTGCCAATAAGGATTCAGAAACCCTTCCCAATCGAGACTTGGATAGGTAACCAATCGCCCTCGATGCAATGCTGTTTATCCAAACTGAAGGTGCTCCTCAGTCGGCTGATTATACGGTAACAGTGCTGTTTATTCAAACTAAAGATGTTTGCCGGTTGTCTTCACAGTGTTGTTTATCCAAACTGAAGGTGTGTTGGCGGAAAAAGAAAATAAAAAATCTCAAAGTTTTTGAGAGGTTTGCGCAGGGCAATTTGTGTGTTGAATTGGAGGGGCCTTGAATGATACACTCTGCTCTCTATTTATAGCAACAAATTCTCCTTACGATCGAGTTAAAACCATATTCGGATTAGGACTTCTTATTCTGATCCAACCTTATCTCGACCAATCCTACTCCTATTAGGACTTTGAACTCAACCCCCTTTTCAGGCCGTATTCATTTTCGGCCAAGAATCCTCATTGCATTAGGACCCCTTATCGTACTAGGACTTCGACCCATCCTTATCCAAATCACTCATTCTTGCAATAAGACTCGACCACCCTAACTGAGCGGCTTAGGACCACCAGACAGCCCATAGTACATTTGAAAAAGCTTTGGGCCGAACATAAACCTACGTTCGGCCCAATAATATTATTTTGGGTCCAAACACTATCACTCACTTCCTCTCTCATTCTATTTCAAAAACAAAAATAAAAATTTTTCTCACGTGTAACTAAAAAAATTGAAATTAATTTCATAAAAAAAAAATAAAAAAAATAAATCGATAAATAAACCTCGGTAAAACATTTGTTCACTTTAACAGCCAGCCAACGCCGCAATCTCGTCGGAAACAGAAAGAAACACAGCGAAAGCGGAGCAATGAACTCGGTGGCGGCAAGGTGCGCGTGGAACGTGTTGAAACGGGCGAGTCAGGGGGTGGAGTCAGCGACGCCGACTCTGGGTCATCGACATGAGCAATCGAGAGGGATTCGGGTGAAGGTTATGAACGGGAACCTGGAGTGGGCGCTGACGGTTATGCAGAGGAAGATGACGTCGAGTGGGATCGAGAGGATGATAAAGCGGGAGCAAACGCACCACCTCAAGAACTCCGAGAAGCGCATCTTGGCCCGCAAGAATCTCGAACAGAAACTCCGATCTCAAGACCTCGCTCGCAAGCTCAAGGCCGTCCTCCTCAAGAAAGTCAGGTACTCATTTCACAATCTCAAACAACAAATCGCAAAATTATGGATTATACAAAACCCATTTGTTGTTTTTGATTAAATCTTAATTTGTTCATTTTCAATGTAAATTATTCATTAGTGCTAATTGGTTAAGTGAATTGCTGTAGCTGGATTAGAGAATAGGGTTTAGGGTTTACACTACAAGTAGATGATTAAGAATGTGTTTAGTGCATATGGGTTTTGTGCCAAGTGACGGGTAATGGAAGATTTTGTTGTGTTTATGCTTTTCGCAGCTTGTAGCTTGTATTGCAGTTCAACTGTTTGAGGTTTTGCCTGAGAAATGCGGCTTTTGCTTGAGCTCTTATTTTCTTGTAGTTTTTCCATGGAAAACTACTCTTGAAGAGACCAACTTACAAGTCACGGGTACATCGCCATGTGGCGTCCCCCTAAACCCAAGGACGTGGATAAGAAAATGTTCACGTCCTTATTCCATTTGCACGGGAAGCCACCATGTCAATGTACCCATGCCATGTAAGTCATTCTCACTCTTCAAAGTAGAAAACTTTGAAACATTAATCAACCATTTGTTTGGTTTTACCTTTACCAATGGTGGATAAGGGGGAAAGAACAATTTATTAAATTCTCCAACTTTCTGTTTGGTTAGTAAGAAAAATAAACCAGAGTCCTATCATTTCCCTCCTAAACCTCTCTCAAGAAAGTCGATTTATAGGAACAAGAATTGCCCAAACTTTACTTTCTCATCTCCAAATGAAAGTGAACTCCAAACACATTCCCCTCTCTGCTGAGTTATAAATTCTATCATTTTACTTGGAGAGCGGCTTATAGTTTTTCACTTGATTTCTAAGTTTTTTGTAATGTAGACAGGAACAGTTTACATATTGTTTCAAATTTTAGACACTTGTTTCTTCCTTAGTTTGCCTCAGACTTCCTTTCTATGTGAATACTATCTCTTTTGATGTTCTTGACTTACCTATTCTGTGTATAAATTTCTGAGTTCATATTTTGCAGAGGCCTGTGAGAATATCGTTCGAGCAGATGCTGGATTGGCATTTACCCTTTTTTTGTTCTAGAATTTCACAGCTAAATACAGCACACTCTTTTGATTTCCGCTGCGACTGTAGTTTTTATAGACAAGTTAGTTTTTATTGATGAGTAATTTACTCAGATTCTTCGAAGAAATTATTTGTCATTTGAGAGATGTTACGTATCATTCAAGCTCGAGTATAAATTTTCCATGTCATGCAAGAAGCCTTTTACTCTACTTCTGTATGTTGGAAATTTATTAAGATCACGCTGAGTTTCGTTGTTGCTTTGAGCAAATGCGGGTTCTGCAAATTGTTGAACAAGAACTCTTAATAAAGAAGAAACAGAACATGTATCAATAGGAAACAATGTAAAGTAGAATACAAGTTACAAGAAAAATTCAATGTTTTCGCACTTCTGGGTTTTAGTCCGCGCGTTATTTTGGATGTCTATGAATCATAACCAAAACAGGTAAGACACCGTTCCACAACAAGAATAACAGGAAATCTGTCAGCCACCATAAATCCTCATCGATTTAATAATTCAGTGAGTTTTGGTTTGAAAAAGAAAGTTGCAGATCACTTCGAGCTTCCAAACCCAAGAAACTGATCTACTAGTCTTGCTACAGAGTTTGCTAAGCTGTCTGCTGCATTCTGTGTGGATGCCTCCGCATATACGCGTATGACATCTTCTGTTCCTGATGGTCGTATAAAACATCGGCCTCTAGGGTATTTAACTGCAATATAAACAGGAACAGAAGAAAATCCTCAAAAAATTGTATACGCAGTTAAAATTAGGAAAAGTGGCAATTTTCCGTGCAACAAATGACTACCGCTATCAACTTAACGGTACAGACCAATAATCAACATGGATATGTGCAGAGCAAAGACTCAACTGTACTCAACATAAAAGGAGAAATCTGCTTACCGGTTTCAGCGTTGATGGCTTCTTGAATGCCAGGGGGTGTCACGGCCACAGTTTCTGCATTTTCTGTTACAACAGCAGTTCTGTCCATAACCTTGACCTAATAATTGCGAAGCGGAAGAATTAGTTTCTGAATAGAATATCAATTTACACCATTGTTTTTTTTGGGCGTGTTGCGGCCAACAAGAAATGATGGAAAATCAATTAACTTTTAAAACGGATGACATATGAAAGCCCCAAAAGAAAACAACTATAAAGCTAATAAATCATCCATAACATAGAATAGAAGGATGGCCTAGGAAACTTGCCTTAAGCTGCCTACTGGGTAGATCCTGATAAAGCTCATTCCACCTCTGTATTGACCATCCCATATGTTTCAGAATGGCCTCAACCAAGAGTACCCCACTCAACGCATCCCCGGCAGCCTGGTTAATCAATTCACTAACAGCCAAGAGTCTCAAAGCCGCCTTATGCTGTTCTGAACCTGAAAAGAAACAACCACGTTCTTCATTTAGACAGGTAATGGACAATCATGTCAGCACTAATGTAGTGCACAAAGACCGGTTTAACCTTTAGCTACATCAGAAAGCACAGTAGTCCTGGTCTCTAACCACCGTAAGTAATGTTCTGAGAACAAAATGGTGCCATGGCCATTTGCTTCAAAGTAAATCCCGATATCATACTCCGCAGCTTTCTCATGAAGGTGTTTCACTCCTGTAGGTGTAAAAGTGACTTCTAGGCCTAACTGTTTGAGATAATCCGTGGATGCTCCGTTTGCATAAGCTGTTTGCACAATACCAAGGCGACACTGATAATCATTATTTCCATTAACATCTATTTCCTTACTCAAAATGCTTAGTTGCTCCTTGATGAATATAGCAAACAAGGATAAAATCTTGTCCCCATCAACGAGTTCAATCTTATTACTACTTCTAGATGGCACAATAAAATATACAAGCCGATCAGCATCACCGTCCAAACTAGCACACCTGAAAAGCTAGAAGCATCCATACAGTTAGTCCCTGCATCTGATCATTTAATGTAACACTTTAGACCAACAGTCGAGCATTACTAATTGACCAAATAGAAAACTTGAGTAGTTTGAAACCCCAAAACGATGTTTGGATATTGCACACTGACATCCTTTGTTGCCAAACTAGCTTTAGGGAAACAATTATTTAAAATACCACCAAACTTGTTTCTTAGCCAACAAATGTTTGCATCAAGGAAAAGATACATCCATTGTAAGCAATCCAACTAGTTGTTAAATCAGATCAAAATTCAAGTTCTCCAAAAGCAGCATGCTATTACGACAAAGATCAGAACTCGGAATTTGTTAATCACATTAACGTAGCATAGGTATTGCAATAACAATAATAGAAAATCAACAGGCCACCAAAATTCAGAGTTTCTCCCATCTATCTAATCAACGTAGTCTATGTATCGCAACAATACGCATACAACAGAATTGTCAGCATAATGCAACTATCAGTCATTCTCCAACAATATCTCTGTGATGCAGGCAATTCAAGCAAGTACCTAAGTAAATGATAATCAAAATTTGTTTCACAATCCATGAATAACTGACCTTATCCCAACATCCTGTGGACCAAAACTACAAGGAACGACCTTCTCTTTCTGCACATAATCAGCACCGACTCCTTCATTAAGTACACCACCTCCTCCTTTTCCGGAGTTCCGTGTCTCAATAACCAAACCATTCAACATCGTCTTCAAAAGTTCAAGTTTTTCTCCACCAACACCATTTGCCCCATCAACAACCAACTTGTCATCCACGTCGCTGGGATGAATTCCACCAGGAATCAAATCTACCAAGCACCTAACCAGCCACAAAGCACTTAACGAAGGCATTCAAGCAACATATGAATTTTTTTCAAGATCAAACCAACACATTAAACAAAAATCTAGCTCCAACTAACCTAAACGAGCTTGAAAGCTGCTTGAAGTAATCAATGTCTGATACTTTCAAACCCTTATTTCTAGCCCGAACCATCCAGTGTAGCTGTGGAGTGGTTAATATTCCCAAGTCATGGGCAACCGCTCCAAGAATTGAACTGATTCCCTTCAATGGACCAAATGCTAAGAAATGAGGAGCGAAAAAAGATTTAGAAACTGCATGCTAAGCAATGGAAAAAGAGAAGATACCTGTTTAGCAGCTTCAACCAGAGATTCTCCACTCGGTCTTGTATCTCTTGCCACCAATATCTCCACGGATTTCGCTCCATCAAGTGCGATTTTTTTGTTTTCAACAAATTCAGCTATCAACTGTTGAAGAATTCAGTCAGCATTGTACACGAATTGACACGAATAAAAGAGAGGCACATGCGCACGCACAAGGGTTATATAAAAAATGAACATACATGAACAAGCTGTTCCGGATCACGAGCATTGGCGAGGGTATCAGCGAACGGCTCCCAATCTTGAGAGAGCATTCCGCCACTCGGGTCGGCAACCTTGATTCCGTTATCAGAGACTTTGTTGTGAGAGGCTGTGATCATGAGGCCGATCACTGATTGGGTGTTGACGGCCCTTAGGGCCGCCAGAATTCCCACCCTGTAAACCGTGGATTGGAGGATTGACGCATCCGCTCTGAATCCAGCCGTTCCATAAGATAGCTTAACTCCTGGTGCCAACATTTCAAAATTAACAAACCAGAAACCTAACTTTGTCGAGAGAGAGAGAGAGAGAGAGAGAGAGAGAGAGATGAGGACCTTGTGGAGGCGGGAAGCGCGACGAGGAGCTCAGAAGGAGTGACCGTTGCTCTTCATTCATGGTTGCTAATCCTGATTCAAAATCACAATCAAACCCTAATCTGCACCTGCAAAATCAATAGACTCTGTAATTTGTTTTTTGCCTTGATTTTCTTCTCAAGCCGTTTAAACTTCGGATGCCCAATAGCTTGGCATTTCCGTAATTTCCTGGAATTCCAAGCCCAATACTGTTACCTTTGTACTTAAAGCCCTACGTGTGTGGATGGATATGCCGCCAAAGTCCCCAAGCAAAGCATCAAACAATTCACGACAGCAGCCGCAGCAGCGACAGAGTCGAAGGGTGAGTGATGGGTCTGCTCTCGTGGTGGAAAGGGAATGAACCCAAAGCCGAAACCAAGACCAGCCAGGATCCGAAACCGACCGAGGCTGCTCCGGGCATGAACGGCGCCGTTGAGGTGCCTCGACCACTCGCCGCCGCCAACATCACCGTGTTCGAGTTCGGGTCAGTGGCGGCTTCAGCCGATAAGGTCACGCTCGCCGGGTACTGCCCTGTCTCCGAAGACCTGGAGCCATGCCGCTGGGAGATCCTCCCTGCCAATGGCTCGGAAGCGCCCCAGTTTCGAGTGGTCTTCTAAGCACTCACCCTGTGTCTGGGAGTGTGAATTTATGGATTCACAGTGTAGTTTCTAAACAATCCAAGTTTTATACATTTTGCTTTGTGATTTTCAAGTTTTGATTTTTAATTTGAATGTTGTGCTGAATAGTGTCTGGTTTATTCGTGTGTTGTAGAAATTCACTTTTGCATGGAAGATCTGGTTAATGATTATGCATTTGAATCCTCTCCCTCTTCAAAGTCGCTTGTATAGAAGAAAATAAGGGTTTGTTTGGTAACGTTGTACTGATAATATGCGTTTGGTATGTTGTTTTTAACGAACAAATAATTAAAAACACAAAATACAATATTTAGCCTAGCTTCGGCAAACATCAAATTGGTATTTTGTGTCTTCTTCAAGAATGATTTCCAAATAAAGTAAAATACACGTAATTCTTTTTCTTTTTCTCTTTTTTTGAGTTTATTATTAAGTAGAAGGTGTAAGAGTTTGGAATTATTATACTAATAATTTAGGAAAGAGAGTTTCAAACTTGAGGCATATCGGTAGAACCCAGTACTTTATCTAGTAGGATATTGAACAACATGCATGTGTATAAAATAAGGAGTAATGCTTGGGAGACCAAAATTTTCCAATTTGCAAACCAAATGACATGTCACTAGTAACGCTAAGAGATGCCTACCATCCACGCTCTTCCATCCCTAATGGTGAATAACACTTGTCTGGACAGGTCACAGATTTGACAAGCGTCTGCGCGCAACAGACAACCTTGGTGAATAAGCTCTTGGAGCACATCGAAACCTAGCACAATCTTGACGGGATATCTCAAAACAGGATAAGGGCATGAGATGACAATTTTTTCCAGCATTGTCTCGACAAGCAACCACTCAAGCAGCCGCGAACTGAGCATTATGGCAGTGTGCACTTCCACTTGGCTAGCGTAACGGACAAAGAGAAGCAGAAGCCTAGTCCGACTTGAGTTCAACTAGTAGCCCACATATGTACAACCACTAGCAGCTCGCTCACCAGAGACAAACCACGCGCACCACCTTCGCGACACATACAAGTAGGACATAGGGAAGAACAACATAGACCTTCAGGTCAGCACGGGGGTAGCGGTAGGCTCCATTGCCCCAGTAGAGGCAAATCCAGTAAGAAGTAGAGAGGCTTCTAGTTGAACGATTGAACGGTTTCCAACGCATTGAGACTACTAACAAGGCACTTCAGAGAGATATAACCAACATGAGTAGGTCACCTTTCATGGACGAGATTGAGTAGACGTAGGCCCCGTGCAAATTCAATATGCCACCTTTCACCCTTTTCAAGGGAGATGAAGACCAAGAGAGGTACCTGAAGCACTACCCAGCGCGATGATCCTTTACCAGAGTAACAACGCCCTCATGTGCAAGATTTTCGCCACTACCCTACAAGGCGAGGTGCAAGACTGTTTCCACACAGTACTAGAAAAATGAAGTGAATCAAATTTAAATTTAAAACTTAAAAAGTAGCAACTTAGTACTATGGTTTAATTGCATTCCTCTTTACTTGTAAGTGAGAGGTCTTATATTTGATTATCCCCAAATGCGAGTTTGAAACATATTTTTGTTAGTTATTGTGAGGCTGAACCAACCCCCTTCCTTTTATTGTAGATAATATTATTTGTTAAAAAAAAAAAACCTTAAAAAGTAAATTTTAATTTTTGATATGTAATGATTATCAAATTTAAATTTAAAAAGTAAATTTTATTTTTTGATTTTTAATTTTTAATTAAAAGAAAGAAATGATTATCAAATTTAAATTTAAATCTTTATTTTTCATCTCTCCCGGTATCCCTTCTCCTTCTCCTTCTCCTCCCTCTCTTTCTCATTCCCTCTCACTGTAACAGACACAATCACACTATCATCATCAATGTCTTCGACTCCAAAGAAGCGCCTGAAACCCAAGCCCAAACCCGAACCCCACTTTCAGTCTTCCCCTAATTCGATCGCGTCGCTATTGGAACCATCCCAAAGTTTATTTCCCTCAAAGCACGACTTCCTTCGGCTCATAGCAGTCCTCGCCATCGCATCCTCCGTTGCTCTCACCTGCAATTTCTTGTCCTCCACTCTCACCGACCGCCACCGGAAGCCCTATTGCGACAGCTCTCCCGACTCTCTCGACTTCCTCCCCGGTACGCCTCTCAATTTTCTCCTGTTTGTTTCCCGATAAAACCCACCTTTTTTTATTTACTTTTTTTATGTTTTATGCATTGTTTTAGTTTTTTAGCTGAATTTCCCTTGATTTTCCTAGTGGGTTTTCTGCAAGATGTGTAATTATGTGCTGAAATGACATTTTAAGCAATTGGAATTATTACAGATTCTTGTGAGCCTTGCCCAAGTAATGGACAATGTTATGAAGGGAAATTGGATTGTCTTGAAGGATATAAAAAGCATGGCAAGTTATGCATAGAAGATGGAAGTATTTATGATACATCTAAGAAACTTGTAGGTCCTGAAACTCTCCTTTCAGCTGCACTAACATTATTCCAGCAGACGAATGTTTGCATAAGTTACATTGGAGTTTCTTACTTGGGTTTGTATGATACAGGCAGAAAGGGTAGAAATTCGTCTTTGTGAGGCGCTTGCTGAATTTTTGTGCTATGGAACTGGAACGATTTGGGTTGGTGTCTTTTCAACTCCTATGAATTTAATAAAAAAAAATTATCTGTATCGGGATATTTTCCCGTGCTTTTGAATACATTTGAAATTCTTGAGTTTGTCTTGCTCTGACAGGTCCAAGAGAATGATATATGGAATGATTTAGATAAGCAAGATCTGGTGGAACATGTTGGCTCAGACAATGTGATTTATATGTATATGAAAGAAAGGACAATGGAGACTGTCAATAGAATGTTGGACACGAGGACAAATTCTCATGGGTATGTCATTTCATATGGAATGAAGATTGTCCACTTTCTCAATTTTTCCCAACCATCTTATGTTATATTTACTTTCTTTGTGTGTAGGGTCAAAGAGTTGAAGTGCCCTGACATGCTAGCAGAGCATTACAAACCATTTTCCTGTCGCATCCGACAATGGATTGCTGAGCATGCATTACTTGTTTATTCAGTTTGCGCATTGGTATTCCATTCTTAAAGGCAGCCTTTAATACTTATATTTAGTGTCAACTTTTTGAAGCTTGTTGACGGTATTGAGATCTCCAGCTTGTGGGATCGACATTCATCATTTGGAAACTCCAGCGAAGATGGCGTCTAGCAACTAGAGTTGATGAGCTTTACCAACAGGTATACAGTATCGTTTGTTCTTTACTTGTAAGGAACATATACAATTTAGGCTCTCATGTAAGTCTGACATCAAAGGGATGTCACCATATTCTTAATCCTTTTTTGGACCAACATTTGAGCACTTGACCTCATAAAGCCTGGATTTTGAAGGAATTATGTGAAGTAACCTGCTTTTTCTGAATGTACCTGCAACACATAGACAACTGTACGCTCTGAGATGCCTGAAAAAAGAAGTGGATGTTCATGTGGATTAAGTGGACATATATTAATGTTAATCCGAACCCAAACCCGTGGTCATGTAAGATCAGGAAATTTTTTTGATCTGAATGTAAAATGTCGCAAATATTTTTTTTGGTAGTGTTGCTTCACATTTCTGTTTTATCTACCATACTCTATATCTCCTATTATAGGTGCATCTGGATTCTGGATGCATATGCTTCAACAAGTTTTCCTTTGGTTATAGGTGCATCTTGTGGTCTACATTTTATATGTCCATTCCATGAAGTCTAATTTCTTTTCTTTTATCATCATTATGTGTCACTCCCATTATCTTTCTAATTTTATTAATTTATTTTTTTCATGTCTACTCACTGTTATCACATTGTATGCTTGTATTATTTCTTTATTTTTATGTGTGTTTACATGTGAAATTTTGAGAGAAAAGCGAATCAGATCTGATAGTTTAAAAAAAGAATGAAACATTCCTGCAGGTGGTGTCAGCGTACGTTGGTACTCTGTCCGTACGAAAAGTTAAACTATCATCTCATGCAGGAACAATAATATGGATGCTAAATTTATGTCCTTTTATGGTCACACTATATGAGCACAGATTCAGCTGCCGTCTTTTCTTGCTGTTGAAAACATCCACAAACACCATAATTTATTGTTCTACTTAAAAATACAAGTTTTTCAATGGTCGTCCCAAGTTAAGCTCTCTGGAGCATGCTGGCTCTATGTTCTATTAACTCACTGCTTGAATGCCTATCAAGGTCAACAGTGACCTTTAATTTATAACAGCATGCTAAATGTGGTTGTTAATCACGCACAACTTAGAAAAGACTTGATTTTTTTAATTGCATGGGTTGGTTTGAATTGTTCAATTGGTTCTATTAAAACAATTTCATTTGCCAATTTTTTAGGTTTGTGAGATACTTGAGGAGAAGGCCTTGATGTCAAAGAGTGTGAATGGTGAATGCGAACCATGGGTAGTTGCCTCTCGGTTGCGAGATCATCTACTTTTGCCAAAAGAGAGGAAGGACCCTATATTGTGGAAAAAGGTATTTTCATGTCTCTTGGGATTATCACTTCAATCTGTACTTTCTTGTTGAATTGATAATTTATAAATTAATCCATGATTTTGTCAGTATCCAAAATAGTGTTCCTTTGTAAAAATAAAAAAAATGACCAAGGCAAATGCGCATATAATGTTATAGGAGTTCAGATTCGTTCAAATTTGTCTGTTGAAATGTAAATTGGCATACTTTTCTGGGATGAGAGGTGGATCTTCTTGCATGATCTAGTTGAACTGAAAGTTTCAGCGGATTGATGTTTTAAAATAAGAACCCTTTAAAAATGTTTTAAATGATATATATAGTGTATCATATTCTATTTTAAAAGATTCTACGTAAAGCAAAAGGGTAACCTCAGTTGCTGTCTGAGTGACTACCTGGGCCCAAACTCATGTTTGGATTGGGCCACTACCAAGCTTCGAGTTGCTAGGGCTAATGACGGTAGTTAGTTGTATACATGATCTCACAAGTTTTGGCTTACATTATTTCTTGCTAATTTCTTTTGAATGCAGTACAAGGGATTGAACTCACGACCCATTCTAATCTTACTTGTTTTCCTTACTCCTCTTATCACCATGACAACTCCCAAGCATGCCTCCTATTGGAGACATATTGTTTTTCCATAAATCTCTATTTAACGTGATAAAGCCCTGTTGTATACTTGGGCACAAGTTACAAGTCATTTGTTCAACCTTATTAGTATTGAGTATATAAAAGAACACTCATTTTTAACCCCATTAAAAAGGTTATATCACCAAGCTATGAAAATATATCATTGTCCGTTATGAGAAAAAATGAAATTGAAAAGTTTCAGTACGTCCACTTTTCGTGACTTGAATTGGTTCTTTTGTTAGTTTATTTGTATCATTACCAAATCTTAGTTGTTTTCAGTCCCAATGAAAAGCGTAGGTCTTTTTTTCTATGGTTTCTGTTTGTCTATATTTGAAAATAATAATTATATTATCGTTCATGTTTCTAATAGTAATATCTGTGGTATGTGCAGGTAGAAGAGTTGGTTCAGGAGGACTCTCATGTAGATCGTTATCCAATGTTGGTTAAGGGTGAATCGAAAGTAGTATGGGAATGGCAAGGTATGCAGGTGGACTCTGTTTTATGCATGTGAAATTGTAAATACGGTGACATAACATGGCCGTTTTATCTTCTTTTAGCAAAACACTATTTACAAGCACATATAATTTGTGAAATTGGGAGCTCTATGGAAAGAAGGGTGCATTCAAATTTGGCATGACGGCTCTCATTTTGTGCAGTTGAAGGCTCTTTGAGCTCTTTGAGAAGAATGAAAAAGGGGGAGTCTAGCACGTTGAAGTTGAGCAAAAGCACGGAAAGAAGTTCTGATCAGCATCTCCACTCACTCAAGGATGGTTAGTTGCACATCGTTTCATTTTTTTTTTTCCCGAAAATTGTGTTTCTGTTTTCATGAAATAATTGGTTCCCACTTCATAATACTTCCTGTGTGCTCATTTGTTTTTTAGATTGTTTGTTCGCATCAATGTAGTGGAATTGATATCTGATGGAACTCTCTTTTCACACAGATGCTAAAGCACTGAATTTTGATACGGTGATGTTGGAGCAGTGACCATTATCCCATTGAGCAGAGGAGATTCAAAGTGTTCTGTTTTTGAAGGGTGATGCACAAGGTTGTCGGAGAGGTTGCACAGGATATTTATCAAGGTGCTTAATGAAAGAGTGCAGAAGTTAGATTGTTTTGAGATGAAAGAAGCAAATTCGGCTACTCCTCCGCCATTCTGTATCGAGCTCCAAACAGTTTAGATGGATACTAGGTTTCAGGTTTTCTTCTCTGCTTCACACCAGACCAGAGCACTAACCGCATAGAGCATACTGCTGGATGAGGTCTGGCAAACACTTACATATGAAGCTTGTTATGTATGTAGTTAGATCCAATGCCTTGTGATATCCCAGACTGCAGATGCTGCCTATGTCTGGAGGAATTCGTATTGCTCTTCGATTTTGCCTGTTTTGAATATTGAGTATCGGAACTTTGTTTCGTGAGACATTGACGTCTTTTTAGTTTATGTGAGTGGGGGAATTCGAACTTTGGACCTTTTTCAACGTTGCAATGAGTGAATCGTTACATGGTGTCATTGACGTTCTTGGGTAACAAGAAATTGAATACTTCTGCAAAAAGAAAACAACAAATTAGGATCGTTTGAAGGGTTCTATTCCGTCCCGCTTAACAAAAGTAATACAATAATGGCTCGTTTACTAAATCGTAATCATATTGGAGAGGAATCGAATTGAACACTGAATGTGTATGTTTACCTACAATCTTGTTGGGGAAATGAATTTGTGGTTGAACTATGCTTCTCATGTCTTTGTTGGTCAGCCTCATCCTTTTTTTCTTTTCATAAGTAATCAATTCACTTAACACCACAGGTACTCAGGGGGGCCAAAAGAAAAAGACATTGTCCACTACATTAAAGCCCTATTTTCTTAATAAACAAGAATTAAAATTAGGGGGATGTTATTGTAACTCAATAAAGTTATTCGTTCTGTATTCTTTTCTTGAAATGTAGTAAATTTAGAGTGTGAATGGCTTTTTTTTGGTACGAATAACAACACTCTAAAAATATTTATCAAGCGGCGTAAGAAATCTTTAATAAACCCACAAGAAATTGAACTTTTTGGTTCTTAACTTAGCAAGTAAATCATCTTATAATTTCAAATTTGACATTTTACAGATTTCAGAACCCTAATGCACACACAGTTGATTTTATTTTAACTGGCATACGGCTCACACAAAATGTGTGTGAAATTTTTTTTATTTCTGTTTTTAAAATGGGAGGAGAAAGGAAGAGAGTGAGAGAGAACGTGAGAGTGAGGAGAGAAGGGAGATAGTTTTATTTTTTATTTTTTTACTTTTAATAAGAGATATGTTAAAATCATATGGATGTGAGGTTTTGAAAAAAATAATAAAAATTTTGGATGTGTGAGATTACATTACTGTTCATATTTCTTATTTATGTTCAATTTTAATTAGAGAGTTAGAATGACAATTTCATGAAATTTTAGTTGACAATGAAGATTCTATTAATATGTAGTTTAGATTGTTCAATCTAACGACTACCGAATTAGATGAGTATATATGAATTGAGAAAAACCTGTTAAAATCGTTTTTCTAAAATAATATATATGTTTTGTGGGCAAGTGACAGCAATGTGTCGGTAGTGATTGATGATAGTGGGGGTAAAGGCATATGATCCAACTGCCAACGTTCTAATAATTATTATTGCTTTGGTTTTGTTTCGGGAGAACACGATCAGAACTTAATTCTCTACCTCATCATGACTTGAATCCTATGGGAGCAGTAAGGAGTGCATCATGGGTTTGGTGATCCAGAATCCGTGATGTCCAATTTGATTTTTAGTCTCGTTCAAGCGGGTTAAAATAAGTAAAAATATGCTCGAACTCAACTCAATCTCGAATTAGATTGCGTTATTCTATTGAAGAAAACAAAAATTTCACATCGAAAATAAGCAAAAATAAATATGACTTGTACGGTATCGTTCTACTTTTAATACCACCACTTTTTCTGATAAAATTTTCACACTGGTCATATTGTGCGAGTGATAATTGGGGGACAATATTAAATGTGCTTGGTAGTGGATTACTCACCATTCTCTTCAAAAATCTTCACATGCTCTTGATATGTGTTTATTCAAAACATTGGTTTTGTTCGTTGGATTATATGACTCGATATCTAGAATTAAATCAGACTACACTATGTCTGCACAATTGTAGGATGGGAGATGCATGGTTAGTCTCAGGAAATCAAGGAGGATCAACTGAAGCAAGTGTAGTGCTTAATAGAGATTAAATTTACTAAACGCGATCAGCCCAACGTTCCAAATTGGAGTCCAATATATATGTCAAGAAAGTAACTCTTGAGTGCAATAATGCAAATTGATCTTTAAAGCTGGAACGGCCATAAATGTTATATGGATTAGCTAAAGTAACTTTGTGATGAGCTACACCTCTGGAGTGTTATATAATGCATTTTTGGTGGAAATTCTATTTAAATTGGGAAGTGTTATTGACACTCCAAAAATCTCATTCTACACTCTTCATAAGTGTATTTTTCTTTCTAAATATAGAAAATTTAGAGTATAGAATGAGAAATTTGAAATGTCAATAACAATTCTCTTTAAATTTTGTAATTATTAAAATTGGAAGTAGGGGACGTATCATTTGAAAAGGATGAGATGGTTTGAATAAAAGGTTCCATCAGTTGGCCGTTTAAGAATAATCATCACCGGTGAAAAGGTGTTTTGCCTATAAATAGGTTATCTTACTGCAGTAAATTGATTAACTTTTCACATTCATGTAGTTGTACACAGGGTGCACTGTTGTTATAGAGTTTTGTAGTGTTTAATTATGTCCATATGAGAAAATATTTAACAAATCGTTGTTTATTGAAATCTTGTGATTTAGAGTGCTACTATTACAAGAATGTGAATATACACATTTTAATTTATTAATTTTTTAAACTTACTCCACTTATATCCTTATAAATGTACCTAATGAAAAAACATAATATATATATATATATATATGGTGACACATAGGTATCGTTTGGTATGCAGACGGGACGGAACGGAATGGGACGGGACGGGACGGGACAGGACGGAACAGAACGGAGCGGGAGCAAAGATGTCCTCGAATGGAAACAAGGAGGAAGAAGAAGGAGACGGAGATGTTATAATTTTGTGTTCCACGGATGTGGAACGAGTCGTTCCAAGGGGGTGAGATGGAACGAAAATTCACCCAAAACTCGTTCTGTGGAACAGCCCGTTCCACCTGTTTTAAGCGCACCAAACGTGGGACGGAACGCCTTGTCCCACTTTGTTCCGTCCCATCCCAAGTACCAAACGGTAAGAAACATATGTGTACCAAAAAGATATTAAAATGAATTGATGTACCTAAATATCTGTATTTAAATATATTATAATGAATTAATGTATCTAAATATCTGTACTGAAATGTATTACCAAAATATATGTATCAAAATATATTGTATTGAACTAATGTACCTAAATGTTTGTACCAAAAGAGATATACCAAAATTATTATATAAATTAATTACCTAAATGAAGGACACGAAGGGTATCGTAAAATATTGTATATAAAAAAAATTAGTTGCCCAATTGTCTATAACAAAATATAATGATGAATGAAAGAAAAATAGGATTAAATGTAGTTAACTTAATACATTAAAATTAGGAAGAAAAAGAGAAATAAAATATCAAAATATGATTAATAAATAAGGTTATTAAATGTATCAATGACTAAATTTCTAGTCTAAAAGTTATACTTTTCAAGAATAAAAATGGAGTTTTCTGTAATAATAAGAAAGGAGTTTTAACGAAACACCCCTGTACTATTCACTTTTAGCGAAAAACCATATTTTTACCTTTCTTTGGTACTATTCACTACATCTTTATTTGTCATTTTTTATTAAAACTAAAGTTTTTTTGGATTTTTCGTTAGTTTTCCTTAATAAGAACTCTATTCTTACTAGTTCATATTATGACCTCTTAAATTAGAGAGAGCATTTGTTGCTGTCCATTTTCAACTGTGGTGTATGCTCCACAATTCCTATTCATTAGCCATGTGTTCTCTTAATGAAGAGAAACTGTGGAACATACACCAGAGTTTAAAACGAGTAGCAAAAGGCTTCAACTATGGTTAGAGTATTTTCTAGGTAGCTCATAAAATAACTTTATAATCTCTTGTAACTAAATTCTCACTTGACTTGAAAATAATGAGCATAATTGAAGATGTTTTTAATAACTTTTTGTGTGTTTCAATTATAAAAAGTTGGAAAGTTTACATTTAGGTACAGTAAAACCTCTCCATAGTGATATTCTGTAAGAGAATAATCTAGTCATAGAAAATTAGATCCCCACTAGGGTAAACTATATATAAGAATAAACTTCACATTGTAATAACTTATAATTTTCCTAGTCTCGTCTCAGGAAACTTGCCACCATATAAGAATAATTATCAATAAGTTAAAAAATATGCAATATTTGCATATTTAAATTTAGGATTAAGTATCTAAAACCCCTAAATTTTTTAGTATAATTTCAAATTGGTCTCAACATTTTTAAACATTCTAAACAAGTACTCAATCTATTGAAAATGTTAGATCTGTTTATTCCCAATTTAATTTCTGTCAGATTTACATTTCGAAAATTAGGTTGCTCCACTGTAATTTTGAATCTTTATACAACTTTTTTTTTTTTTGAAAAGCAATCTTTATACAACTTTTGTTAAAGATAACTAAATTAAAAAATATGTTTGTTTAACTATACTTCTATTTAGTAGTCCTTACATAGTTACAACATTAATTTAGTCCCGACATTATAACTAAACTTAATATTTTTATGTTGACAATTTATTTAGTTTAGATCTATATTTTAATGGAATTACTAGATTTGACAGATGAAGAGGTGATTGCGTGTTCCGGAGCGTACTGCATCACTCCTCTGTGTCGGCGGACAATTCGACGAGTAATTCCACCAGGAGTTGAAAACCAAAGTCATCAAATTTCTATTAATAGTATGCCCCTGATTTGCCACCACTTCTCCTCTTCTTCCTATGTATATATGATCTCTCCCACTCCGTCTCTCTGTCTCTGCCTCACTGCAAATCTCTCTCTCCTCTCTCTCTAGCTTCCCCAGTTTCTCTCACTACTCACTAGCACTGTGGGGGATGCAGAACGTGAGAAAAGTTCAAATGCAATAAACCCACTTGAGAACTCGTCTCTCAGGTTAGCAATTTGATCCCTGTATACCATCACAAGATCCATGCTTGCACTTGCTTTTTCTTTTTTCTTTTGTCTTAAAAGTTGAAGATTTGAATTCCATTGTTTCTGCATCTTGCATTCATATCCAAAGTTCTTTCCTTTTTTATTTTTTATTTTTATTGTTTTTAAGTGAGATCCAAAGTTTGCTCCTTAGGTGAAAAGGATTCAACACTTAAAAGATCCAACATGTGAGCTTGATTTGAGGCAATAGATTTAATAACTACAACAACAAACAA